GGGTGATTGTTGAGCATGCCTTCCTTGGGCCCAGTGGTTGAGGGCTCCTCAAAGCGCACACTTTATCTCTCAGTAAGCAAATTAAATTAAGCTGTACATTCGGAGTCAGCTGCGTCCTGTGCAGGGCTAACAGTTCCTCCTCCTGGTTATGGTGGTGTTTGATTGGTTTGGTTGTATCCTTCCGGGGACCTCAGCTGTCCTTTTTTTTCTCACATACCTGCCTTGTTTCCATACTTTTAGGTTTGATACCCAAGGATTACCGATCCCTGAAAACACAGTATCTGCAGGTAAGGCGGGGAAGATATATCTTTTTTCCATTTAAAAATTACATTTATTGGGGCTGGAGAGTTTGCTCAGCAGTTATAAGTGCTTGTTCCTCTGGAAAAAGAGGACCTGGGTTCAGTTTGGAGCACTCATATGGTGGTTCACAACAAACTGAAACTCCAGTTTCAGGAAATTTAACATCTTCTTTTGACCTCTGTGGGCACCAGAGACACACGTGGTAGATACACATACATCCAGGCAAACACTCATTTACATAAAATCTAAAAAAGTTTCAAAACTATGCTTATTGATATTGTGTGTGTGTGTGTGTGTGTGCGCGCGCGCGCGCGCGCGCGTGTGCGCGTGCGCATGCGCGTGCGCGCGCTTTTGCACACCCATGCACTCAATGGATGCCTGTGGAAGTCAGAGAAAAACGTTCAGGAAATGTATTTCTCCTCCTACCACATGGGACTCCAGGGAGCAAACTCAGGTCATCCTATTTGGCAGCAGGCACCTTCCTCTGCTGAGCCAGCCAGCCCCGTCCTTTTGTTCTGAGGTAGTTTCTGCGACTTTTCATTCCTCTTAAATGCGCCACACTTGTGGGCTGTTTGAGTAAACACTGCAGAGTGCAGCTGTGGATCCCTCCCCTACCCTCAGTGTCACGGACAGTGCTGGTTGTTTGGTGGACACTCAGTAAAGAACTGACTCACAAATTCCTTAGAGCTATGGGCCTGAGCACCTGCTAACCTTCTCCAACCTGCGGCGAGCTGGGCTTCTAACAGAGCAGGCTCCGGGCGACACCCTCACAGCAGTAGAGAGTAAAGTGAGCAAGCTGGTGACTGACAAGGCTGCAGGTGAGCCGCCATCTCCCCACCCCGGGAATGGTTCCTTTCCTTACAGTAGGCAGAGCCCTCGGGGACGGAGAGGATTGGGAGGTATGATGCCATTGCAATTGCTGCTTCTGCTAGTCAGAGCAGTTTCCATATCACAAACTCAGCTTGTGCTGACCTCGACATGAGTTCTCACTTAATCCTCCAGAGGAAGGTATTCTTTCCCTGTTCCTATTCTAAGGAAACTGAAGCGAAGCGTAGAGAAAGTAAGTGACTTGTCCCTCAGTTCATCATTTATTCCGAAGCTGATGCCTAACCTAGAAATTAAGGTCGCCTTGTAGACTACATAGAGTGGGCAGCTGATACCCTGTAGGAGAAAAACAGTAGATGAGAGGTATGCTGAATGTCTTGATCAGTTCCAGACAAATGCAGGGAATGATTTCAGTGACAGGGAAGGGAGGCAGGGTGTTGGCGTATCGTTCTTTCCTACCCTAAATGTTGTGAATCTATAGATCTTAGACGTAACCTAACACAGACTTCTTCCCCAGGAAAAATCACTGATGCCTTCAGTTCTCTGGCCAAGAGGAGCAATTTCCGTGCCATCAGCAAAAAGCTGAATTTGGTATGTAGATCAAGGCTGGATGGGAAACATTTATTATTTTTTGGGTTTTGGTTTTGTTTATTTGGCTTGGTTTTTGGTTCTTTGATACAGAGTTTCTTTGTGTAGCCCTGGCTGTCCTGAAACTCACTTTGTAGACCATGCTGACCTTGAATTCAGAAATCTGCCCGCCTTGCATCCTGCGCGCTGGGATTAAGGCGTGTACCACCACTGCCCAGCTGTTTGTTTCTTTATAGTGTACTTTGAATCCATGTTAACCTGTATGCCACTGCATTTCTGTTTTTCTTTTGTGTGTGTGTGTGTGTGTGTGTGTGTGTGTGCATTGTGTGTGTGTATGTGCGTACATTCATGTGTGTGAATGGCTATGGCACACATGTAGAGGTCAGATAAAGCTGCATGTGTCAGTCCTTACCTTCTGCCTTGTGTCAGATGAAGTCATAGTTTTTTTTTCCCTCTGTCTAGACAGTCTAGCTTGCCCACTAGCTTCTGAGGGTTCTATTGTCTCTGCCTCCTAATTCCCCATAAGGAACTGGGGTCAGTGCCCTTCTGCTGTGGGTCCAGTTTTTAATGTGGGTTCTGGGGAGTTGAACCCAGACTTGGGTAGGAAACAATTTTACATACTGAGCCATCTCCCCATTCTCTGTCCTTCCATTTAAAAATATTTTTATCTTACGTGCTAAGTGTTTCCTTGCGGGGCTGAAGAGATGGCTCAGTGGTTAAGAGCATGCTCTGCTCTTCCAAAGGACCCGGGTTCAATTCCCCGCACCCACATGGCAGCTTACAATAATTGAGGTTTGTAACCTCAATTCCAAGGGACATGACACCTTCACACTGATGTCCATAAAATAGTAAAGTTAAATTAAAAAAAAAAAAAAAGTGTTTCTTTGCATGCATGCGTGTGCCACACATCGGCCCAGTACATGTGGAGACCAGAAGATATTGTTAGAGTTTCTGGAACTGCAGTTGTGGGTTGCTCTGTAGGTGCTGGGAATTGAACACAGGTCCTCTGAAAGAGCCCCATGTCACTGCATTTCTATGAAGGTTCTTTGGTAACTTTACAGCATCAGCTTAATGTAATAATGAGACAAAGCATAAAGAACCACTGTTTAATAAATACACCTGGCATTTAATAAACAGCACCTGGCATTGCTAAAGAGCACTTTGAAGTATGGGTTCATACTTCAAAGTATGGGTTCATACTGTAGCCCCCTGGGAAGGGGCTACAGAGAAGAGCTGGAAAAGAGCCCTTCCCTCCCCCACCTTCCCTCCTTCACCCAGGGAGCACAGGAGCTCCTAGAGAGAGGAAACAGGTATTTAATACAATTGTTGTCTTGGTTATGGACCCCTTTTTGTGAGGACTTTCACTGATCTCACTGGCTAAGTGTGAACAGTTGCTCAGGGTGTGCCTTCGCCAGGCCTTTACAAGGCCTGAGTGCTGTGCTGTTCCCTGCCTAACGGAGGCCTTTGCTTTCTAGATCCCACGAGTAGATGGGGAGTATGATCTGAAAGTGCCCCGAGACATGGCTTATGTCTTCAGCGGTGCCTATGTGCCTCTCAGCTGCCGCATCATTGAGCAGGTGAGAAAGAATTACTTTTGCTTCTATTCCTGTTGCACTCTTATGCTTCTTCTTGGTCCTTGGCGAATCTCAACTTTCACTTTCCAAGTAACGAGCAAGAAACTTGAGTCCCACTGCTCTTCCTTCCCTTTCCTAAACTTAGTCTCAGAAGACTTGAAACCGTTGTTTATACGTTCCTAGGTGCTGGAGCGGCGGAGCTGGCAGGGCCTGGATGAAGTAGTACGGCTGCTAAACTGCAGTGAGTTTGCATTCACAGGTGTGTGGCATTGCTGGTGGTGTAGGGCAGCAAAGGGGTGGGCTGGACACAAGACCCTGGAGCAGTGTTGTTTGAGGGAAGATGGCCTTCTTCTCTGATCCTCACAGACATGGCTAAGGAAGAAAAGGCATCTAGTGAGTCACTGCGCCTCATCTTGGTGGTGTTCTTGGGGGGCTGCACATTCTCAGAGATATCAGCCCTGCGGTTCCTGGGCAGAGAGAAAGGTAAGAGAGCAGAAGGGGAGAGCAGGGCTGCCTGGGTTCTGGGGAACCACATGTCCTGCACAGAAAGGCTCTCCGGCTGTGGCACCACGTGGACAGCCTTGCTGTGGGCTGCTGTAGCAGGAGGCAGGGCAGTGCAGCCCTGCCCAGCCTGGCACATTGTAGTACCCAAGAGACTGTTACTGATATTTTTACCTTTTTATTTTTCCCCACTTGCTGGGGACAGGGTCTTATTCTCTTGCCCAGGCTGCTCCAGAAGTATCTGGGCCTGGAAACCTGCGTTCTGATCCTGGGGCACTGTGGAACTGGTGGGCTTGCTCTTTTGGGACATGAGATCCATGTAGTCACTTCTGCCTCTCTTGACTCTTAGGGTACAGATTCATTTTTTTGACAACAGCCGTTACAAACAGTGCTCGCCTTATGGAAGCCATGAGTGAGGTGAAAGCCTGAAGTTTTCCTGGACAGTGTTGAAATCGTTCTGATTGTGGACCCCAATGGGAGGCTGGTGTTTGACATCACCTGCTAGAACTCCCCTACATCCCCAGCTATACTACTCAGAGCTAGGGACTTCGGAACTAATTTGGGGCTTTGGAGAACATTTGGAGAGCATTCATGTCCTCCCCAGGATACTCTTTTGTTTATGAAGTATATATTGCTCATGATGTTAAGGTATGAGGGGAGAGCTTTCCCTTGCTCCATTTTCTTTGAATATTATTGTAAATAAAGCCTCTGTTCTCAAATGCAACATCTTTGTAGTCCTAGACACACAATCCCTCTTTTACATAGTGGGGCTATCCTGGGGGCTTCATAATGCTTCTTGGCCTGGGCTCTGACTGCTCACTCTGGGCCTACTCCAGCCTCTTCTAAAGAAGAGCATTAGCCTGCTCTTCACCTGCATTTCCTCAAATGTAAAAGGAGGGTGGATTCAGTGGTCAAACAAATACCCTTCCACATTTCTAAAATTCTGTGGTTCGTTACACTTCCCAGAAAACAAATGTATTACTGCTCTAATTTAAAGAGACACTCTTTTGTTTGTTCCTTTTCTGAGACTTGGTGGCTGGGTAGCCTAGACCTGTATAAACCAGGTTGGACTTGAACTGACGGTGATCTTCCTGCCTCACAAGTGTTCTGATTACAGGCTTGTATTACTGTGCCCAATAAATAAAATGTTTTGTTTTCTGAAAGTAAGAAAAACACCTTTCTGATCCAGACATGGTTTTCTATAATTCAAGCACTTGAGAGGCTAAGGCAGGAGGATCACTCACAAGTTCAAGACCAGCTTGGGCTATGTAGTAAGTTTCATGCCATCCTGAGCTACTGAATGACACCTTGTCTCAGAAAAAAAAAAAATAAGGCCAGGTGTTATAGCATTTGGTAACACACCCCTTTAATCCTAGCACTGAAAAAACAAAAAACCCAAAATCACCTGCAATAAAACAGCTCTAGCCCAGTAGTGGTGCACACTTTTAATCTCAGCACTCAGCAGGTGGATCTCTGAGTTTGAGGCCAACCTGGTCTACAGTTTCCAGGCCAGCTAAGGCTACACAGAGAAACCCTGCCCCCCCCCCCCAAAAAAAAAAAACAACCAACAACATGGTTTTAGAGGTGAAATAATTTTTTTTTTCTGTTTGACATAGTACCTATCTATGGTCTACAATATCTGTTTACCAGGCTAGCTTCTATCTGACTCAGATCTACCTGCCTCTGCCTCCTTCAGTGCTGAAATCAGGTGGGAGCCACTGTGCTCAGTCCTGCTTTCTCTACTTTTAAAGAAAAAAAATAAATGATGGCCTATGGAGATTAAAAAAGTGTAACCAGATCTTAAGGGTCAGTAATATGCTTCAGACCAACCTCCAACATGACTCTTGACCATAAAATTATTTTCATCGCTACTTCATAACTGTAACCTTACTACCGTTACGAATCAAATACCTGCTATCCAGGATACCTGCTCTCCCACCCCTGTGAAAGGGCCATTTGACCCCCCAAAGGAGTCACAACCCACATTTTGAGAACCACTTACTGTTGACTTTGAATTTTTTTTTTTTTTTTTTTTACAAACCTACTCTCTTCAGGGTTATTAAATGCTTCTACCTCCCTCCCAACCCTCAACACCGGGTAGGAGGGAAAGGTTAGTCGGGACAGGGGGCAGAGTTCTCTGTTACTTCCCACTGGGTAGGGTTGTAGGATTCTTTTGGGGGGCAACACCAGTATCAGTCATCCAGAAATCCGGAAGTCCAGGGAACCAGCAAGTTCAGCAAATGCAGCAGCAGGACGAACCAGCATGGAGCAGTGCTCCGAGCAGCCATGCCTTCTTCCTTTGGGCTGTCATTTACACCCCCTCAGAGTCCTCAGAATTCAAGTCATTGCACCTGACCTGGCAAAGACCCCAACACTCAACAGGTGTGAACAAACTTGGAATTTTAACAAAAACTTGTTTTACATTTCACAAACCAAAACATTCACAACACTGCCCTAAAGTCAGGGCCTAGACTCATACAGTGTGGAGAACTGAATCCTAAAATTTGCCCTCTGGTCTCCACATGTTACCACCCCCATACACACGCAAATAAATTTAATAAACAAATATTTTTTTTATAAAGCAGAAAGAGCAAACAGACTCTTATAGATGATACAATTGGCCAATATAGAAAAACATGATACTTCAGTTATAATTCAGTATAAGCCGGATCTTGTTTTGTTTTGGCCCTATAGATTTGGGCGTATTTGGGCAAGAAAGTTACTCAGTTTTTTCATGTAGTCCAGACTGGCTCACCATCCCGCATCAGCCTCCTAAATTCTGGAAAACAAATCTTTGAGTCTTGTTTTGTTTTTGTATTTTTTTTTTTTTCAGTATAATGATGATCATTATTAACAGGTGTGTCCTAATAAACTTGCCTACAAGTACCAGGCCCAAGAACCTGGTGTCTTCTTTGCCTTCTAAACTTTCCTGCTAATCCCTGCTCCAATTGGAACGTTCGAGAGTAGCGACTGGTTGAGCTGTTCTAGCAGTCTCCCCAGTCACCTTCTGAGGAAGCACAAAATTTTGAAATCCAACAGAGCCGAACGGGTGGGGCTCGGGTGACATCATCGAACCCCTGGAGGCAATAGCGGAGCTGTTGAATTCAGAGCTCTAGGCGTGCGCATGCGTACACTGAGGCCAGCGCGCTGCCTGGGCCAGCGCTTCCCACGCCCAGGGCGCAATGGTGCCCCCGGGATGGGCGGGGCGAGGGCGGGCTTCCGTGACTGGCGGCAACGGGAACCAATTGTCGAGCGGCTCCGCCTCCTGCTGGGTTTGAATTCCGCGGGGTCCAACGGCTCCAGGGTAGAGTCCGGCGGAGAGTGAAGGGCTTTCGCTGCTGGTTGCCATCCTCCGTCCCGTGCGTGCGAGGTGGAGGGTCTCGACTCCTGACTGCTTGAAGCGTCCGCCATGAGGAGAAGGTACGGGTCTCTTACGGGAGGGAGGGAGGGAGCCACTGTCGAGGTGCAGATCTGGTGCTGGGTTCGAGAGCCCGGGAACGCAGCGTCCGAGGCTGGGGGTGCTGGAAGCGGGGCTCCGGAGGGCAGGGAGCCCGAGGCGGCCGCCAGGCGAGCGGCGGCCGGGCAGCGCGGGTTGACAGGCTTCTTCCAGGCCGGGGCGGGCGGGTGTCGGGCCCAGGCGCGGCCGGGCGCAGGTGCGAGCCCGGCGGCTGCAGCCGCCGCAGACCCCGACTGCTCGGCCGCCCCGGCTGGCTGCCCAGCCTGTCCGTCACGGCGTCGACTTCGCATTGCTCTAAAGCCTGTAATCCCACGGCTCGGGGGGCCGGAGCGAGACTGACTCGAGTTGAGACTAGGAGAAGTAAAGAGTTTTCGAAAAGCCGCCCGAGTTTTAATTGCATTTATTCGTGTCTGCTCCTCTGGGTTGGTTTTACGTAAATTGGAAAGATGACTTGATTTCCTTGCAAGTTAACAAACTCAGATTATGGAATTCTTCTCCGGGCGTTTCAAGATCCCCAGGTACGGCTTGGGAGTGTCCAGTTTGAAATCCGACCAGAACTGACTTTTTAGGCAAGAGTCTGAATGCTGGTTTTCGCACTTCTGAAATAGTATCAGTGCTTAGGGCTCTTGCGTTGAGGCTTTACAGATGTCTTCTGAAAGTGAAGTACTGGGAGATTTAGTATTAGCCTGTAGTTACTGGTCAAATTGAATACCTACCAAGGCTTTGTAATTTTTAGGAATCTTAGTTCCGGGAATTTTGATAGTTTTTTTGGTTTGTTTGTTTGTTTGTTTGTTTGTTTGTTTTATCCCTAGATACTTGACCTTAAGACACTGGGAACAGAATGGGAACGATTAATAAATAGTATTATGAAAACAAACTGAGTACAAGGCTAGGGATTCCAGATACTCTCATGCGAATGACATTATACTTAAGCTCATTATACTTAAACTCTTCTGGGATTAAGGGTGCATTGTGAAGACTAGTAAAATCCTAAGTGACATGGAAAGGAAGCTTGTAATCAAAGTATATTTGGGTATGGTGACCCTCACCTGTAATGTACAAATTTCAGAAGCCCAGGGCAGGAGAGCTCCAGGCATCCTACACCATATAGAGATCTTGTCTCAAAACAGGAACAAAGAGCTGGCTGTATACATCTGTACTCCCACTACTTTCTTGGGAGGTTCTGAGTTCAAGGCCTGACTGGCCTAAAAGTTACCCTGTCTCTTCAAGAAAGAAAGAAAGAAAAAGTAATATAAAGTCTTCCAGTATGAGTTTGTTCAAGCATCTTCTTTGCTTTTTTCTTTTTGAGACAGGAAGGCCACACCAAGCCTCCTTTGCTTGGTTTCAGTTGGATTTGAGAATTTATGTCTCAATGTTTTGTTTTGTTTTGTTTTTTAAGATTTCTTTATTATTATTTATTTATTTGAGGGAGTGCTTTTAAAACAGGGTCTCTACACAGCCCTGGCTGCTCTGGAACCCACTATGTAGACCATTCTGACCTCAAACTCACAGAGCTGCAATTGCCTCTGCCACCCTGAGTGCTGGGATCACAGGTGTGCCAGCGCACCCTGCTTTATACTCAGTGCTCCTAACCTCTGAGCCATCTCGCCCAGGCCCCCTTCACCACATCTTTCCTCATTTTGTGAGACCCTCATTCATAGTTGTTCCTTAAATGTGAAAGGAGGAGTGGGCATGGTGGCACATACCTTTAATCTCAGTCCTCTGAAGGCAGAGGCAGGTGGCTCTCTGAGTCCCAGGCCAGCCAGAACTATATAGCGAGTTCTGGCTCAGAAACCAGCAAAACATGAAAGGAATGGCTCTGAATTCCTGCCAGTGATCCCTACACTCCTAACTTTCAGATAACTCTCAAGGCCACTTGGGTTCAGTAACATAAAAAACCATCTCTCCTTTTTTTTTTCTAATTAAAAACCTAGTGCAATGGGAAAAGAATTCGAGCACATATTTCTCTAAATGGGATCTATAAATGGCTGGTTGTTCAGCATGAGTCATCAAGGAAATCTAAGTCAAAATCACAACGAGATACCACTTCATATAGACACCAAGCATATGTGGCATGCACCTTTTTAAAAAATATTTGTTTATTATGTATGTATTATGCATGTACACCTGCATGGCCGAAGAGGGCATCAGATTCCAGTATAGATGGTTGTGAGCCACCATGTGGTTGCTGGGAATTGAACTCAGGCCCTCTGGAAGAGCAGACAGTGCTCTTAACTGCTGAGCAGTCTCTCCAGCCCTGTGGTGTGTGCCTTTAATCCCAGTACTTGGGAGGCAGAAGCAGGCCAATCTCCAGGTTGGAGCCCACCTGGTCTATGGAGCAAATTCCTGTGTAGCAGTGGGCTACACAGAGAAGCCCTGCCTTGGGGGAAAAAAGAACAGGTGTTGGTGAGAGACTAGACCCTGCTGTACTGCTGGTGGAGTGAATGAATGTACCACATTGGTGTACAATCTCAGGCGGTTGCCATACAACCCAGCCCTTCCACTGCTAGGAAGTGAGAAGACGTTCACACAAGTTTGTATCAGAATCTTGTGTTTTATTAAGAAAGGTTCTGTGTAGGCTGGACTGGCTTCCAACTCACTAAACAGTCAAGGAGTTCACTTTTAATTACATGTGTGTTTCTGTGTGGTTCAGTCACCAACAGAGGCTGGAGGTGCTGATTTCCCTGGAAGTGGAGTTACATTACACATGATCGTAATCCACGTGATACAGCTGCTGGGAACTGAGCTCCAGTTCTCGGGAATGCACTTTTTGTTTTGGTTTCTCTGGACAGTTTTTATTTGTTTGTTTGTTTGTTTTTGTGAGAGAGAGTTTAGAGAGTGTGTACAGCCCTGGCTGTCCTTGAACTGGCTCTGTAGAACTCCCACGTGCTGGGCTTGAAGGCATGTTCCGCTGCCTGGCTGAGGAGATTAATCCTAAAGTAAAAGATTTTCATCATAGATAAAATACTGCTGAAGTTGGTGACATGGAAGGTGGGAGCAGAGCCCAGAGGGTGAGGTCATCCTTGGCTACAGGAAAACCCTGTCTCAGGGAAAGGGGTCACTGTGTTTGACTTCTTTCTTTTCATTTATCGTAGTTCAACATATTGTTTGTTTTTTACATTTATTTTGTGACGGTTGGAATGCCCTTGCCACAGTGTGAAATGAAGGTCAGAGGCCAACATGTAGGAGTCAGTTTTTTCCTACCATGTGGGTTGTAAGGATCCAACTCAGGTTGTTAGTCTTCACATGTTGAGGCTTTTTGCCAGCCTAGCATGTTTTGAGCTTTAGCAGTGTCGCATGTAATTTGTACCTTTTTATTGCTATGTTATCTTGTAGGAATGTAGTGATCCATTTTTTTAGACATGCAAGCTGTTACCATTTCCCACGCTATGACTAAATACATCTATGTCATTCTTTTGTTTTTCTTTTTCTTTTCTTTTTGATTTTTCGAGACAGTTTCTCTATGTGTACTTTTGGCTATCCTAGAACTCACGTTGTAGACCAGGCTGGCCTCAAACTCACAGAGATCTGCCTGCCTCTGCTTACCGAGTGCTGGAATCAGAGGGGTGTGTCACCCCGCCTGGCACTCTTTTCTTTTTCTCTCTCTCTTGTTTTTTTAAGATAAAGTAGCTTTTGCCATGTCTCCCAGATCCTCTAACCACTTTTTAAAAATTTATTCATTCATTTATTTTAATGTATGGCTGTATTTCATTTGTGTGCCTAGTATCCTCAATGGCCAAACGACGGAATTGGATCCCCTGGAACTAGAGTTGTAGATGGTTTTGAATCATCATGTGGGTGCTAGGACCAACATCCGGGTCTTCTGGAAGAAGATCCAGTGCTTTTAACCATTGAGCCACCTATGCAACCCTCCAAGCATAGAACAAAACACAACAACAACAAAACAACAACAAAACAGGGTCTTTGTGTATGCTGTCCTGGAACTCGCAGTGTAGACCAGACTGACCTTGAGCTCACTCTCCTGAATTCGCTTCCTAAGTGTTGGGATTGCAGGCATGTACCACCATGTCCAACCCAACATTTCTAAATGAAATTTATCAATTTATACAGCAAACATATCAGGAATGCGAGAATTCGTTCTTCTGTTTATTTGCCATCATGTGATGTCTTTCTTTTTTAAACATGCATTGGTATTTTGCCTGCATGTATGTCTGTGTGAGAGTGTCCGATCCCCTGGAACAGGACAGTTGTAAGGTGCCATGTGGATGCTGGGAATTTAACCTGGCAGCCAGTGCTCTTAACTGCCGAGCCATCTCCAACCTGTGATGATGTCTTTTAAGTTTAGTCTTTGAATTACGGGTTGTAATTTAAGCATCAAACTCGGTGTTGTGGTTGCACGTTTGTTTGTTTGTTGAGACAAGGTATAACTTTGGCTGGCCAGGAACTCCTCAGTAGACCAGGCTGGCCTAGAACTTACAGAGATTTTCCTGTCTTCTGAGTGCTGAGACCAAAAGCTTGTGCCACCACCGCCTGGCTTGTGGTGCACATTGGTAATCTCAGCATTCTGGAGGCCAAGGCAGAAGAATCTTAGGCTTTACAGGCACAAGCCACCATGCTCAGCTCTCTGCCAGCTGTTTTCGGGAGCTTCTTACCAGGAAGCTCTTATGTTAGCGTTTATTTTACGGTTACCTTGTCTGGCTTCTCTTCTATAAAAGCATTTGTAATTGAGCATTGTACTGCCATACATAGAATCATTCAACAAAGTCATTGGCTCTTAATTCAGATGAATGTAATAATTTTGCTAGTGTTGCATTTAGGAGGCACAGAGAATGGCCAGGAATTCATTAAACTGGTATGCTCACTCTGAGTTTATTTTACTGTCAAGGCCTCTTGGGAAACTACTCAATTCAGTTCCTGGAAATAGTGCTTTTAGTCTTGAGGCAGTGATGCTGCATCTTACAAGCAAAATGGTTTTATATTGATTTTCAGTGAGGTGCTAGCAGAGGAGTCCATCCTATGCCTGCAGAAAGCTCTAACCCACCTTCGGGAAATATGGGAATTAATTGGGATTCCAGAGGAACAGCGATTACAAAGAACCGAGGTTGTAAACAAGCATATCAAGGTGAGTCAACTGGGGTCGGTGTCTGCTGTGAGAACAGTAGTGATGTTGCCGCCTTATTTGAGATAGCGGGCAGACTGATATTTGGAGTATTGGAGGCATGACTTAGTTGGTAAAGGACCCACAACTCCATGATATAAACCTGAAGACCTGAGCTCAGTCGCCAGAACCCATATAAGGTGTAAGGGGGATTGACTCTTTAAAGAGGAGGCTCTTCTCAACTCCACATTATGAACACACATAATAATAAATCAATTTTAAGAAGAAATAATACCTAGTCATTTACATTAGGATATCACAGGCTCTTCCTGGCTTTATTTGTCTAAAATTTGAAGTTATGGGGTTTTGATACTAATGCTGGTTGGTTTTGTTGTGGGTTTGTTTTGTTTTTGTTTTGTTTTATTCCCAGTAGCTCCAAACCTTTACCAACTGTTTTCTCACTTGTAGGATCTTCTGGATAGGATGATTGCTGAAGAGGAGAGCCTGAGGGAAAGGCTTCTCAAAAGCATATCCATCTGTAAGAAAGAGCTGAGTACCTTGTGCAGTGAGTTACAAGTGGAGCCATTTCATGTATGTGGTGGTACAGAGATTGGGTTGGGTCTAAGACACAGGAGTACATTTTAACCTAGGACTGTAAACGGAAAGCTTTCTTGGAGGAGTAGGGCTAGACATGACAAATGCGAAAGATAGAGTTATCCTAGTGAAGTAAGCAGGTAATAGGTTATCAAAAACTTCTTGCTGTATTTCTGTTTTATAGAGCATAATAATGTTTTTAAGTTAACTTTGAGGAAAAGGTAGACATAAATGGTCTTTATTAGAAAGAGAGGAATGGGGGAACATTGAAGGAATGGATTTGTTGGTAAAGTCCTTCCCTCAGAGGCATGGGAACCTGAATTCAATCCTCATATCCCTGAAAAGAAGCCAGATATGTTGGCATATGCTTGTAACCTCAGGACTGGGGAGCCAGAGACAGGTGGATCTCTGAGGCTTACTGGCTAGCCAGCCTAGCCAAGTCCATAAGCTTCAAACCAAGAAGAGGCCTGTCTCCAGGGGGCTAGAGGGGGTGGGACAACTTAGGGAATGGTTTAGCAGTTACACTTATTGCATAGGAGCTGGATTCAGGTCCTAACACATGTGGTGTCTTAGAAGTGTCCTGAACTAGGGGCTGGAGAGATGGCTCAGAAGTTAAGGGCACTTCCAGAGGTCCTGAGTTCAATTCCCAGCAATCACATGGTGGCTCACAACCATTTGTAATGAGATCTGGTGCCCTCTGCTGGTGCATAGGCACACATGCAAGTAGAATTCTATATAAATATAGGAATCCTATATAAATATTTTTTAAAAAATTTTTAAGATTTATTTATTATTTATACAGTGTTCTGCCTGCACATACACCTGCAGGCCAGAAGAGGGCTATTTGAGTACTATATTGAAAGGAAAAACTCTGGTTGTGTTAGTTCTTGAAATATAGTTTCTGCTGAGTGCATATTGCTTTTGCCACATTGTAAAGATTAAAAATCATGAAATCTATTAAATTGGAGACCACTGCACTATACACTTGAAGAATAGAAAAGATAGTATGTAAGGTAATGATAATTTAAGGGTATTTTACCATAGTAAAGAAAAATGGAAAAGGAAGTTGGTCATGGTGACCCACCAACCTGAAACAAAGGCAGGAAGATTGGGACTCCAACGTCTTCCTTGGCCACATAGTACAAATCAAGAGAAAGAAAAGGCTCTGATATCCTATTCCTACTGGAAACCTTCGGAGATCTTCAAGTTCCAGACCAGGCTGGCTTTGAACTCACAGAGATCTCCCCGCTTCTGCTTTTCCAAGTGCTAGAATTAAAGGTGTGCATAGCCATGCCTGGAAACTGCCTTGTTTGTAAATGGAAACATTGTTACTCGAGTTTTCTCCCAGTCTCCTTCCCTCCTTGGACCTTAAATGGTCATATGTTATTTCATCCAGGAAGAGAGAGAAACAACTGTCTTACAACTAGAAAAAACTTTGCGCACTCAAGTAGAATTGATGAGAAAACAGAAAAAGGAGCGAAAGCAGGAACTTAAGCTACTTCAAGAACAAGATCAAGAACTCCGTGAAATTCTTTGTATGCCTCCCTGCAACGTGGACAGCACCTCTGTCCCTACCTTAGAAGAGCTGAACCTGTTCCGGCAACATGTGGCGACTCTGAGGGAAACGAAGGTATGCTGCCTGGATTCATCCTACCCTAAAACTTTACTTGGCCTCTAGCTATCTTTAATTTTGTTTTTGTTTTTTTAAGGAATCTAGGCATGAACAATTTGTCAACCTTAAGAAACAAATCATATTGTGTATGGAAGAATTAGAACACAGTCCAGATACAAGCTTTGAAAGAGATGTAGTGTGTGAAGATGAAAGCGCCTTCTGTTTGTCACTGGAGAATATCGCAACACTACAGAAGCTGCTACAGCAGGTAACACCGCTCCAGCTGATTCTGTACCACCTCAGTAGTAGTCACTAATGTGAAAAGAACCAGCAGCTTTTTTTTAGTCTTAAACAAGGGGTCAGTGTAAGAGAATAAGCGAAGACAACAATATGTAATATGTGTTTTTTTGTTTGTTTGGCGGGGTTGGGGGAGGACACAGTTCAAGGGTCAGTTGCAAGTGTTGACGCTAGGAGCTGCACACCTTGCTGAAGCAAGCTCTCAGTGGCACTAGTGCTCACTGACTAGACTAGGCTTGCCGCCAGTGACCTTTACGGGCCATTCGCGCGTCTCAGGTGCCAACACACAAGCATGCCCTACTTTTCTAATGCAGGTTCTGGGGATTGAACTCAAGTCTTTATGCTTGAATGGCAGGCACTTCACTGACTGAGCTAACTCCCTAGCTCCTATTTTAGTGGTGGAGATCAAATTCAAACCTTGCAGTCTCATAGATCAAAGATTGTATCATTGAGCTCTATCCACAGTCCTGACCTTTTTTTTTTTTTTTTAGAAAAAGCCTAAGCCACCTTTTGTGTGAATAAGAAACATAATATTCTTAGAATATTAAGTTTAAATTTTAGTTGAAACAGTATTAGCCATTTTAACTAGCCTAATGTTTAATAATAAAAAAATTTCAAAATTTGACTCTTCTAAGTTGGGTGTGGTGATACATGACTTTAAACCTAGCACTTAGGCTGAGGCAAATGAATCTCTGAATTCCAAACCAGCCAGGGCTACATAATGAAGATCCTGCCTTAAAACAACAACAAATCGAATCAAAACTTGAATCCTGTTCTAGGTCTGATATCCTATGACAATGACAATCTGTTTTGTTGTTCTCTTTTGTTTCTTTCTACATGGCCTGTCTGTAGACCAGGCTGGCCTTGAACACGCAGAGAACAAGTCTGCCTCTGCCTCTGCCTCCGGAGCGCTGGGAATAAAGGCGTGCGCCACTACTATCCAGCAGCAGTGGCAGTTTTACCACAATATATGTTTAGATGGCAAGAAGACATGTCTCTTATCCCTTAATGTGAAAATATAATAGCACACACATAAAACTATAATCCAGTATTCAGGAAGCTGAGTCAAAGTTGAAGCCAGCCTATACTACATAGAGAAAATATATGAATTTGATAAAAGTGCTTTCTCTTATGGGTCCAGATTTTTTCCTCTGAGGAATGAGAAGGTCAATCTTTGATCTTTTGGTATAACCACTGCCTTTTCTTGTTAAAGCTGGAAATGAAAAAATCACAAAATGAAGCAGAGTGTGAGGCCCTCCGGGCTCAAATCCGAGAGCTCTGGGATAGGTTACAAATACCTGAAGTAGAGAGAGAACCTATGGCTGCATTTATGACTGGATCAAAAGCCAAAATCAGGAATGCGGTAAGAAAACCAATGGATGCTGGGTAAATATTGCTCTCAAAGCATTTCTGGGTCTAGTCTAATGTCCTTAACTAGCTAATCTCTTGGGCCAGCAAAGACATGTTCTATTTTGGCACATTTTTGTGGGCATGTTTTTTAGATTCTGGCTCTTATAATGTTGTTATAAAGCATGCCGGTGATTTACCTGTATAGCTTCATGTTGTAACTTTATTTAAATGTGGAAAGACAAACAGGTAACTATAAAAGTATGGCTCTATAACCTTTGTCTTTTTTCTTTCAGCTGCAGTTAGAAGTGGATCGGTTAGAAGAACTGAAAATGCAAAACATAAAGCAAGTGATTGAGACAATTCGAGTGGAGCTGGCTCAGTTCTGGGAGCTGTGTTTCTATAGCCAGGAACAGAGGCAGGCTTTTGCCCCTTACTATTCTGGTTAGTACAGAGGTGATGATCTCCATGCGCCTTTTATAAGCTCAGATACCAAGAAGTTCTGCATTTCCACTTTTGAGCAGATACAGCCAAGCCTCAAAAATATTACCTCATTCAATTTTCATGCCATGAGAAAAGGGCCATAAACCAAATCTTGAGCAGCTGAATGCAGAGGTAGAATAGCTAAATGTCTTTGTCTGAGCTCAGGGAGTTGCAAGCTGTCATAAACTGATAAGAGGTGAAAGTGTCCTAACAAAATAACAGCTGTTTATATAGTTTATGTAGCCCACCTAATCTTCTACTGGCTTTGCAAGGCAAAAAGGAAGAGTATGAAAAACAGAAGAAAGAGACACTACATTTTAGAGAATGTTCTTTGTTTCAGGCTATGTTTTTATTTGTTTGGTTTTTTGGGGGGTAGAGTTTCTCTGTGTAGTTTTGGCTGTCCTGGACCAGGCGTGGTAGTACACACCTGCAATCCCAGCCCTCATGGAGGTAGAGGCAGGCAGATTTCTGTGAGTATGAGGCCAGCCTGGTCTACAAAGCCAGTCCAGGACAGCCAAGGCTACACAGAGAAACCCTGTCTCAAAAAAAAAAAAAAAAAAAAAGATTTATTTTTACTTTATTTATTTCAATGTCAGTATTTTATTATGAGGAAGAAAACCTTTTACACTGTAGGGTTAGTATCTTGGAATGCCAAACACTATAGTGGTAGTTCTTAACTTCCTAATGCTTTGACCCTTTAATATAGTTCCTCATGTTGGGGTAAGCCCCAACCATAAATTTTGTTGCCACTTCATAACTGTAATTTTGCTACTGTTTTGAATTGTAAATATCTGATATGTAGGATATATGATATGTGATTGTGATGAAAAGGTTGTTCCAATCCCAAAGGGATTGTTCCAATCTCAACCCATAGGTAGGTTGAGAACTGCTACACTAGAGGAATTATCAAACAAACAAACAAACCAACCTACTGAACTTGGCTGGGCAGTAATGGTGTACGTTTTTAATCCCAGCACTCAGGAGGCAGGATCAGGCAGATCTTTATGAGATCAAGGACAGCCTGGTCTATAGAGTGAGTGTCAGGACAGCCAGAGACAGACAGACAGACAGAGGAACTCTATCAACCAAAAAATAAAAATAAAAACTACTAAACTTGTCTGTTACAGAGGACTACACAGAAAACCTGCTCCATCTTCATGACACTGAAGTTATACGGTTAAAAAACTACTATGAAGTTCACAAGGAACTATTTGAAGGGGTCCAAAAATGGGAAGACAGCTGGAAACTTTTCCTAGAGTTTGAGGTAATATCCTTGTTTTATCTCTTTTTCTCTAGAGTGAAATGAACACCATGAAAGCAGGCCAGGTATGATAGCCCAAACCTGTAATCCCAGCATTTGGGAAGCTGAAAGATTGTCATGAGTTCTAACCTGGACTCTGCTTAAAGTGAAAGCAAAAAACATTACAAATAGAGAAGTCAGACTCTGAAGTGAGAAAGACTGAGGCTTACAGGTAGTCCTCTGGTAATCCTTACTTTTGGTTGAAAGCAAAGAGAAGTCACGAACAGGTGTGAAGCAGATTCCCTGGTTCACAAGCCCACATTTAAGAGGGAAGGAAATAAGAGATCAGTGCCTCCTGCAGTTGTACCTGTCAGATATTATATAAAAAATGTTACTGATTCCCTGGCCTAGTTTTGAGTAGTACACCTAATTTAAGGTTATGTACTCATTGCTTCCATACATTAGAAAATAACAAAAATTAAAAAGTTAAAAAGAATGACAGATGTGTGTGTTGCTGAGGATTAAACCCAGGGTATTCTGCATGTCCTACCATTCAGCTACATCCCAGCCTGACCGTTTGCACTGTCTAGAAATGCTGGCGATTTAACCCAGGCCTTCACATGTGCTAAGTATAAGTGGGCTGAAGTTCACAGGCAAGTAAAGGCACCACATTAATTTTTTAAAACAAGGTCTCATCAAGCAGTGGTGGCATAGGCCTTTAATCACAGCACTTGGGAGGCAGAGGCAGGTAGATCTCTTACACAGAAGAAACTCTTAAAAAAAAAACAACAACAACAAAAAAAAAAACCAATAAGGTCTCGCTCTGTAGCTCCAGCTAGAACTCACAGAAATCTGCCTACCTCTGCCCACGGTACTGGGATAAAGGCTTGGGACAACATTCCTAGGTTATAACATTCCAACAAAGAGAGCACGAATTATTTACTGTGTATGGGTGTATGCTTTGTGAAGCACATGCTGGAATTCACTCTATAAACCACGCTGGCCTTGAACTCAGTAACCCGCCTGTTTCTGCCTCTGGACTGCTGGGATCGAAGGCATAAGCTGCCGCCACCAAGCGGATTTTCTCTTTTTAAGTGGCGTAGCTACTGGAAAGTTGCCTATGTTCCTATAAATAACCCTTCACTTGCCTGGGCAGTTTAATTCCAGCACTTGGGATGCAGAGACAGGTGGATCTCTGAGTTAGACGGTCTACAGAGAGTTCTAGCACAGCCAGGGCTGCACAGAGAAACCCTGTCTGGAAAAACCAAAAAAAGGCGGAGAACAAGACACCTGATATTAATTTCTGGCTTGTACATGTGCACCACACACAGGAACACATACACACACCACATAAAACATCAAGACCAGAGACCTATTACAGACACCAGTTACTTCTAAGACTCCTCATCAGATAACTTTTTTTTACAAGTTTTGTATTATTGTCTACTCAAAAATGAGAAGCACTAATTTTCTATGCCTTGAGCATTATACCCAGAGATCCCTGGCTGTCTTGGACTCACTTTGTTGACCAGGCCTCAAACTCATCAGTCTGCCTGCCTCTGCCTCCCTAGTGCTGGGATTAAAGGCATGTGCCACCACACCTGAATCCACCTTCTTCTTTTTGAAACAAGGTTTCTGTGTGCCCTGGAACTCTCTGTAGACTAGGCTGGTCTCAAACTCACAGAAAACTCCGTGCTTCTGCCTCCTCTTACCGTGGAGCTCATAAATTAGTTAGACTGGCTGGTCATCAAACCTCAGGATCCATGCTGCTGTCCAACAGCCCCAACCCCTGAGCGTGGGGTTACAGGATGTGCTGTCCCATGCAGCTCTTACATGGCAGGCACTTTACTGTGTCATCTCCCCATCCCTCAAGGTTTTACTCTAATAAGTGTATTTTTCACAGAAAAAAGCTTCAGATCCAAGTCGGTTTACAAACAGAGGGGGAAATCTTCTAAAAGAAGAAAAGGAACGTGCAAAGCTCCAGAAAACACTCCCGAAGGTAACTTTGTTTATAAGATACCTTATTCTTCGTCTTTTCTAAACATAGGAAGGACAGCATGAGCATGTATTGGGCCTTTATTTGTAGCAACTGATATATCAGAGTATATGAATTTTCTAGGGCTGCCACAGTTAAGTACCAGAGATTAGTTGGCTTAGAACACCAGAAATTGACCTGTTTAATGAGCTCAAGGTGTCTTTGATAGGGTTGAGTATCTTCTGAGTCTGTGCTTGACTAAAGAGATGGCTCTCTTTTGTTCTTGTGTCTTCATATGGTCTTTCTCTGGGTCTTGGTCCTAATTACTACCAATCCTATGATTAGGGCCTGCCCTAATGACCTTATTTGAACCCACTTACCTTCTTAAAGTCGTCTCTATATGATAGCAATGCAGTGTCCATACTGTCAAGACTTCAGTGAACACTCTAGGATAACAACTGCGTCTTTGTGATAGGCAAACCTCTACAAAAAGTGCTGTGCTTTATTATTGTCCGTGCATTTCATTTATTCATACCATTGTCCAGTATCCCTAAAGGTTATATTATTTCCATGTATAGAGATGAGTGGACTGAGGTTCAACTTACCCCCTTTTAGGGCTGGTTAAGAGGTTGATTCCACATTGGATCACCCTGATAGTGTTCCCTAATTCTGTTTACAGAGCACCCTGGCTAGCAGTGGTGGCACAGGCCTTTAATCCCAGCTCTCAGGAGCAGAGGCAGGTGGATCTGAGTTTGAAGCCTGCTTTGGTGTACAGAGTGAACTCCAGAACCGCCAAGGCTACACAGAGAAACACTGTCTCGAACCTCTCCAACTCCACCCCCCCCCCAAAAAAAAAAAAAATTACCCTATCTAGATGATGTTGGTTTTCCCAATGCTGTTTCCAGTGTTAGTTATCAAAACCTCCATTTTTAGACTGGGTTTTGCCATTTTTCTTTCTTTAGTGTGTGTCTAAATGAACTCTCTAGTCTGTGATTTCCGTTTGACCCAGTCTGTATCCATGTGGGTCTGGCTATCAGAGGTTGATGACACTCTGGGAAGGAGTCTTTCTTTAGGATAATTACTTTGTTTGAGATTAACACCAAAGGTTTGAAGTAAATAACATGTCCTTGTTTCCGGCCAGCTGGAAGAGGAGCTGAAAGCACGGATTGAAAAGTGGGAACAAGAGCAGTCAACAGCATTTGTGGTGAATGGGCAGAAATTCATGGAGTATGTTACAGAACAGTGGGAATTACATCGGTTGGAGAAAGAAAAAGCCAAACAGGAAAGGGTAAGCTGTGCACACAAATTAGGAAAAAAGGATCACAATTAGAGTGGTCCTGCATCTCTGCCGAAAATCACAGTTTATTGAATAGGTAGATTGCAGCAGCTCCGTCTACCTCAGGTCACAGAGATTTTACCTGGGTTTCTGGCCCTGCTGTCTTAACGGGGTCAATCATTGTTTCACACAGCAACTGAAGAACAAGATACAGACAGAGACGGAGATGCTATTCGGCAGTGCTCCCCGGACACCTAGCAAGAGACCAGGATTTACTCCTAACAAGTCAGGCAAAGTACGCAAGGTAACTGTCTTCATGCTGCTGCTCCTCACAAGGGAGCAGGGAAGCTCGGGCAAGGTCTTTGCTTGTTACTGCCCTCTACCCTGCTAAGAAGGCAAAAGGAGTTCTGTCTTTCTGGGCTGAGTCCATTTGAGAACAAATGGGAAAATACTTTAATGCTGAGTAGCAGCTTCTAGTGAGAATCAAAGAGTAGCCAACTCTGCCAATAATCAAGACCTTACATTAAACTCCCAGTGGCTAATAATTGCCACAACATTCTGTGGTAACGTTCATCCTGTAATTCCAACAGGTGGTCACAGTCAGTACTAGATGAACCTTCCATGCTTCTAATAAGTGACTCTAGAATGCTGGCTGGGGTTAGAGGTATGAACCACCACACCCAGATTGCTGAACATATTTAAAAATTAAGTAGTGCTTGCAAGTTCCTGGTTCAATCCTTAGCATTAAAAAAAGTTTATTATTTTATGTAGTATAATGAGCATGCATTATGTAAAATGTAGTTTTAATAAATTTTGACGAACATACACCGTGAAACTATCACTTTGATGAAGACAATGGACATACCATGGCTCTAAAAGGCCCCTAGCGGCAGTTTGCTAGGGTCTGAGGTAGAAGGAAGGGAATACAATCAGGTATTTACTGTCACAATAAATCTGCATTTTCTAATAGACTTTTGTACATTTTATACAGGTATCCTCATGCAGTCTATTTTGTAGGTTTCTTTCACTTAGTATGTTTGTGAGATTCATCTGCATTGTAGCATGTACTCAGTCATTCGTCTTTATTACATATGCATTAAATACTGCTCGATAATCTGCTTGTCCAGGCACCTGTCAAGGGATATTTACTTCTAAAAACTGCCATAAACGTGTAAGTCCTCATATGGATATATGTTTGTTTCTCTTTGGGTCACATAGTACATGTCTTGTGCCCTAAGTAGGTATATAACTGTGTAGCTCCATCAGATTGGTATGAATAGGCTTTGAAACAGTTCTTGAGTTTCCTTCCAAGCTGTGCAGTATTGTGCACTGCCAACTTTACTGTGGAAACTCATTTCCTGGACACTTGATGCTCACGTCTCTGCAGGGTAGAGCTGGGTTGTTGGAAAGGCCGATGTTGCTAACCTCACATCAATAATGCATCTGCTCCTAGATGAACACTACCACCATGTCCAGTGCTACGCCCAATAACAGCATCCGGCCTGTCTTTGGAACAGTGCCCCGCTCACCCGTGTCTCGGCTACCACCTTCTGGCAGCAAGGTCAGTATATTCTGTACAAACACATCCCTATTTGTTACCTGTTTTCCCAGAGGTCCTCCTCGGTCTAGTTTCGAAAATCTGGTGATCGTTGAGATTCTGAGAGTTAGGCCAGAGCCAGATGATCATTAGACCAGGGCTTTTGAAACTTTTTCCTTGCATGACCTCTTTCTACATAAGGAATAACCCTGGTTATATAAATATGTATGAAATACGGGTACACACTTGGCTACATGAGATCACATCTCAGATGCAAACCAAACATAGACAAAAAAGGAATTTATTTTAGGCTGGATTCGATGGTGTACACTTGTACTCCTCATATTTGGGAGGCAGAGGCAGGAGACTGACACTGTAAGGGACTTGCACACACACAGCTAAAACTGCACCTATTTTTTGTTTGGAGACAGGGTCTCACTGTGTAGTCTGGCTGTCCTGGACCTATGTAGACCAGGATCTCAGAGATCACCTGCTTCTGTTGGTGCCTAACTGCAGCATTTTTGAAGCCAGAAGTGTAGGACTATAGACATGAGTAATATAACTGGCCTTGGGTTTCCTGGGCGAGCGCATTCATTCTAAGGTGATAGGTAACATCGGTATCTCTCTTCTCTGCAGTCAGTAGCCACTTCTATGTATTCTGGAAAGAAAACCCCTAGAGCTGCTCAGCTTAGGGCCAACAAGGAGAACATGGATCTCAATGGCAGCATCCTGAGCGGTGGGTACTCTGGCTCGACGCCCCGCCAGCACAACTGCAGCATTAAGTCTGTTGCCAGCACCTATTCTGAGTTTTCGGTAATTCACCTTTTCTGATATCTACCAGTCTCTGGGGAGCACACAGTTGACAGAGCGGGGTATCTTCCCAAGGGCACCCAGGATATTCTGTCAGGATAATAACCTGAGGGCTGAGAATCCCTTTCCTGCCTTGACCATGTGGGTGGCTTGAAGGGGTGTACAGGAAGTTGAAGTCAGCAAGTAGACATCTGAGCCGAGTCCTTCTGCTCAAGCTGTACCACTCCCGGGTTGCAGGAGGTAACCTGCTAATGATTGCCCTGGTGCTCTCTTGGTGGAGTTCTTGGTAACTGTCTTAATTCTTTGTTCTTAGAAGGACCCATCCCTCTCTGACAGCTCCACTGTTGGGCTTCAGGTCTGTATGGCAACCCCTGCATGTCCCCTTTCCAAATTGGTCTGTTATGTGCTGGCTTCATTCCCATCTGGGCACAGAACTACACTAACCCATAGTCTCAGCTGTATCAACATAGAACCTTTTAAAACAAAGGAAGTAAGAATTCCTGTTATGGGCTTCAAAAATAAGTATCTGCTGTCTATTTCCAGTAGACTGACATGCTGGCTAGCAATAAAACATGTTCAGACTTGACTTGGATTCTCAGCCCCACGTAAGATTATGCAAAGATTTTTTTTTCTCCTTACCTACTTACAAAAAAAGAAAAAACCTGGCCCCCATCCCATCCCCACTTACCAAAGGCTTATAATGTGCTAGAAAAAGTAAAGGGCCCATCAAATGGGGATGGGAACCCCGGCTGTGTGCTGCTTTTACTGAGGCTCTTGGCTTGTGTGATTATTTCCTGGAGTATATACCTTACTAACCCTCACGGCTGAATCATCCCGTCTATGTAGGCTGGCCTATGCTTATTTCCTCCATTCTGCTATTTTTACCATACTGAGTTGCTAATACGTGTGGGAAGACTGACACTGTCTTTTCACAGTAGCCTTCAGTTATCCTTTTCTGAATTGGCTGACACTAGCTACAATGCCTTTTCCTTAACCATCTTTTTTCTCTTCCCTCCTATCTTCACTAGTGAGAGGTAAAGGCTGCCCCTTCCCTTGCAGGAGACACCAAGTTAAAATTTGAACTGCCTCCTCTTTTGGTAACATGGGGAAGGAGACTGGGACAAGGAAAGCATGGCCAGTTTGGAATGTGGAAAATCGTCATGTTCTGGCCTTTCTTCCCAATGACCTGGGTGGTGGTATTTCTAATAGGAGAAATGGGTGTATGTAGCTCTAGTTGGCTGATGCTGAATGACAGATCGAGCTTTCCCTTTTTTGCTTACTCAGCCAAAGCCCATTTTCTGCGTGAGGCACATCCATCTGTCTCTGGTTAGGCCTGGAGGTTTTCTTCTGACACCAGCAGCTATGGCTAACAAAGTCTATGGGGCAGCACAAAAGCCACTCACTCAGTGCTACTAACACCTGTCTTCCTCCGGGGCCCTTCATGCATGCTTAATCTTCTGCTTTTTCACCATGTACTCCAGCATGAGATCAAATCACCAGCAGGTTACAAAGCCCTCAGCCCCAGGGATTGGTAGATAAGTCCTCTGTCCCTTGTTTTACAAAGGGATCAAGAAACTAAAGCTGTAGCATGTGCAAGGCCCTGCAGGAAGAGGGAAAAAAAAAAAATGGAAAAAAAAAAATTGTTGCGCTCTCGCTAAAACAACTACAGGAGTACCTTTGTGAAATATAAGGGTTTCTCTTGGTGAAGGTTTAAGTTTGGACTGGCTGAGGATAAGAACGGGGCCTGTGTGCACATGTGCTAGGCTTGTGACTAACAGAATGGTGCTCGAGCTCCTCAGACTGTTCCTAACACGGCTGTGCTATGAACCCTCAGGGAAACTGCCTGGAGGCTTTGTGCTAACCCTTAACCACGTTTACAAGTGGAGGGGTACAAAGTAGTACTGTCACTGATGTTGCTTATTCTTCAACAGCGAGAACTTTCAAAGGCTTCCAGATGTGATGCTACTGCTCGAATCCTCAATTCAACCAACATCCAGTCCTGAGAATCCTTGACCAGTTAGCCAGCTGTGGCTTCCTGTGCCTACACTGGACTGACTGACTTATACAAGGGGTGACTTTATCGCTTTTTATCAGTTTAGATACGTCTGAAACAACCTTGGGCAGGTCTGTTACCATGGGCCTTAGACATGAGTGCAGCAGATGAGAGGTCCTCATCGGTGTAGCGAGTCCAGAGAGACATGTTTTTCAGTCAAGAGATACCTTGAAAGCTAGTTATGACAGTACAAATTTTAACATCTGGTACCTAATTTTTTTTCTCTACCCGGAAAGTCTGTTTAAAGATGACTGAGGGTTTGTCTTATTTCACTACTATATTGGAGAATAAGAAAATGATTATGCCCAGCCTTGAAGTATGAGACATGAAAAAATTGTGGCTTATAGACTTGGAATTAGCAGTTAACATCTTTTAAGTCTTTTTTGTTGTTTAGGAACATTAATGCTGTAGCGATGGTAGCTTTAATCTTCCCGGGGCCCGTGCTCTGCACTTTCCTACTGAGGATTTCTCGTGTTAGCATTGGAGATGGCTTGCCCTGCCGCAGGAACAGTAGTGCAGTCTTTTTGCTCGTCTGACCAGTCTGTCTTCAGTCTTCCATCCCTGTACTCACTATGACTAGTTCCATTTCCTGTAGTTCACAAGCAAATGAAGAGGCTGTCTGGGTGAGTTGAGCCATTCTGTCATGGACTCAGCAACTTTGCACATCCACAAGGAAGTTACTCCTGTGATCACGTCCTGAGTGAGACTCTCTTTACCTACCTAGCTCATCACTACCCTCCCCAAAGCCCTATTATTTATTCTTTCTCTGCCAGTGCCAGATCTATCAACACGATTGTTTGTTTACCCACATATATGTTTTTAAATGTATTAAAATAAAATGTATATATAGTTACCTTTCAAACACTACATTGTTTTCTTCTTCTTCTCCAAATCAATGTTTGGTTGATTTGGTCTGTAGTCACAAAAGGACACAGGAAAATTTTAAAGAGTCTAATCTCAGAATAGTTTGGATTTACTCTTTATTCTCATTTGGGTAATACCACTTTATTTACACATATTTTCATGTTTCAGTATTTTATTTTGCAGTTATTTAAAGCTTCTGGGCTAAGCTCCATTACTGATGGAAGGCCTTGGGTTTTGATCCCTGGCACTGCTCCAAAAATAAACATTTAATTTATATATATATATTTAGATCTTTTGTAAGATTTATCTTTATCCTTTGTTTTAGAAATTTTTTAAATGTCATGCACTTTTAATCCCAGCATTTAGGATGCAAGGGTCCTGTTACAAAACTTAGAATTTGTTTCCATGCGCCTGTGACAGCATACTTTGCATAATTTGCAAGAGTTCATTCTCACCCCCACAGCTTAAGTGGCTGGGCATCCACCTGGCATATATCAGACTTTCTCTCTTTGCACTGCATAGACATAGGTATTCCAGGGTCCACAGGTAACAGCCCTTACTTCGAGTTGTTTTTCTGCAAAGTATTCCACACGGCAGGGTCGATCCAAGCTGGTGCTGTCCTTGTGGCCAAGCTGTCCATATTTGCCTAGAATAAAATGAACCCCTTTCTCTGGCAGGCCTTGCTACGTTTCCCCTCAGGGGCTACAGCTACACTGCTACAGCTACACTCAGCCTACTGGCCTTCTGCTGTCCTCTGTGCATTCAGAGGATCAAAAGCCAGAAAACTTGGAAGCCCAAACACACCTTGGGGTTGCCAGAGAGCAGTGGCTCCTCTAGGCTACCTATGTCAAGGTGATCAGGACACCTTCTCCTCTGCCATTTGGCCTTGGCCCTCCTAAGTGCCTTTTCAGTTCTCATCCCACAGACCAGGCTGAAACCCCTGCTCCCTCTACTTTGTGTGGCTTTTGTTCTGTCTCCTCGGGTTCAAACCCCTTGATTTAATGGTCACAAAACCGTTTTTACTTACCCCAGCCCCAAGTATAGAGGTCTCCTGTTCCTGCAACCAAAGAGACAGGAAGTAGCTTGCCAACTACTCTTAACACTACTGGCAAGATAATACTTGGCACAAGGCATAGACAACATGCTGTAATTCTGACATGTGCTTATTAGCACAAAATAGCACACATTACAAATTTCGATCACATTCGGGGTAGTAAAGGATCTAGTTAAAAGTTTTATTTTCCTGTCTATTGGGTCTGAGGGTGTGTAGCTGTTGAAAATACACAGGTAACCTTTGTCTTCTTGGAGTGGTTCTCTACCTTCCTGATGCTGTAGACCCTTTAATACAGTTAGTTCTTAATATTGTGGTGACCTCTCCCAACCATAAAATTATTTTGTTGCTACTTAATAACTAATTTTTCTACTGTTGTGAATGGTCTTATGAGTTACAACCCCTTTAGAGGCTGTAACTCACAGATTGAAAACCACTGTTTTGTTTTTGGTTTTTGTTTTTTGTTAAGCATTTGAAACAGTCTCACTATATATACCCCAAGCTAACCTCAAAGTCCCAATCTTTCTGCCTCAGCCCAAGAGTTAGAATTTATAGGTGTGGGCTACCTTGCCCAGCATGAAAGCTTTCTCAATTGAGTGAGGCAGCTCATCATAAATATATACTAAAAGATGGTATGAAATGGTAATGTTTGTTAAAAACCAATCTCAGTGTGCTTGCTTGACATACAAGAGGCCCTGGATTCAATCCCAGCACACATACAATGTTGGCACACATATAGTCCTAGCTACTCCAAAGCCCGAGACAGAACTACTTGAACCCAGGAGTTTTTTTTGAGACAAGTTTGCACAATAAAGAGTGGACAAGGCAAAGTGCAGTTCCCAGTTACGGGTGGGATGGTGTTGGAGGGACCCTGTTGGTTGAGGTTGCAGTTCCTGCCTGGACTGGATAGCCATTAAGCTCTGCACTAAAGGCAGAACTCCCTCCCCTTGGCAGGGTCCCCTGCTCTCTGCCTACTTCATCTGGAAAGGGTCTTTAGACACAGACTACCCTAGCCACACTTACTATATGGCCTCTGACGCAGGTCCCTGCTAGCTCTCCCCTCCCTTCCCTTATATGTTAATTAAGCACTGACATTCTACTCTTATGATAGAAGCATGTTGTCTAATGCAAATCAAGCATGTGCCTAGTTCCAACCAATTATGTACACCTATTCTTGGAGCCCCCCACCCACTCCCCTAGGGGGATACAGCCTTTGTTCTCGGGAATAAAGTTGAACTAGCCTTCAGCCGTTTCTTGGGTGTGTGATCCCTATGATATTCTCCTGCTGCTCCTGCTTGACTTCCTGGCAACAAGAGAACCACAGGATGGAGTGCCCGCGTGCCCACTCGGCCAGCCCCACTCACGTGTCACCACGGCTGTGTGTCGGGATCCGCAGCTGGCCTTGACTGCATCCGAGTTGAGGGGAAGATCCAGTAGAGCTGGGAAGGGCTGGATGGCTATGAAGTGGGCAGGAGCACCAATATCACCCAGGGCTGCTGCTGCTCCTTCGAGACAATCTTCACTCAATTCCGTGTCTGTCGAATGGTCATAATGTTTAACATTCTGGCCATGTGAAGCTCCTACAGTGGCTCTATAAAAGACAATTTTCTAGCTCCAAAGCCGGTGCCCAACCCTTCCTCAGCAGACCTACAGGTCGCGCAGTGCCAAAACCAGCATCAGCCTCCCCACAGCAAAACGTGTCCAATGGCCGCCCAGTGATTTGTGCCCCTGAGCACCTGCAGCTCAGTGTCCAGCACAGTAGAGCGGGTGATGACATCTGAGGTTGACCTTACCCCTCACGGTTTTCCTCTCCTCTTCTGTGTTCCTTCTGGGCAGGGCCAACTGCCCTGATTCATTCCAGCCCCAGATATAAATATCCCCAGACTCTGTAAGAGACCAAGAGGATCCATGAAGCACACTGTGAAACCCTTCCATCCACACCACCTCCTCAAAACATCCCCATGACCAGTTCCTAGGGTCAAGTAAAGCTGTCCCACCCAGGCATCCCTCCAAGCAAAGATGTCGCCCTACCAAGGCCCAGCAGCTTCTTGTCTTAGATTCCCTGTCCATAGAACACATTCAGTCACACCCTCTTTTCCAAACAGCCTCACTATGTACCTCTCTGGCTGGCCTCAAAGTCCCCATGCTCTTCCTGAATGCTGGAACTACATGTATGCACCACCATGCCCACCTTTCCTTCCACTCCCCCTTTCTTTCAGAGATGGATCTCACTATGCTGCCGAGGTTGGTGTCTAACTCCAGCCTTAAGGTCTTTTGTCTCAGCCTCTCCAGTACCTGAGACTGTGTGACGCCCCATTTAGTCATTCTTTAGCTTTCTTGCTAGCCTGCTTCCATTTTCATTTTTTAGACAAAATGTCTGAAAATAATGAAATAGTTGACAAATTGGTATCATGCCTAGAATATTAAAATTAGCCAGGGAACAAAATTCAGAATAAATCGGCAAGAATGATAGATTACCCATTGGAGAAACTTGGAAGTTCACCCCTAACACTGAAAATAAGGGGAAATGGGGAATCAAATAAAACCAGGACAACCCTATGAGAATAACTATTATGAGGAATCCATCGCCAAGTTGTGGGTCACACCTTTAATCCCAACATAAGAATTATAGTGATTTAAATTTAAAAGCTGCTTGCAAAAAGCAGGCTGAAATTCAAAGTGAATGTCCTTTGTGATCTAAAAATCACTTAAGCCGTTATATATAAAGAGAAAGGATATATTTATATTTATCCACACATACTACGGCAGTTTCAAATTTCAAAATAAATTTTTAAATTTCAATTGAAAGATAATACTTTTTTTCTGTGCCAAAAACCATTTTGCCCTAGCAACAATATATTATTCAAAATTATTTTAAAATTATTCAAAATAATTTTTTTAATTTAAATTGAAAGATAATCCTTTTTCTGTTGTCAAAAACCCTAACCACTCCAGAATTAGGGTTGGGGCAGGCTCTTTCCAGGAGAGTAAAAGCATCCAACTAAGGAATCTGGACACTACTGAACAAGTGAAACATCTGAAGAAAAAAACATGGGTCATCAAGAGAAAATGTTCCAAGAAAAAGAGTAGATTAGCCAAGTGGAATCGCCCACCTCTAGTGACCAGCCTGAAATCCTGCTGGTATCCATACCGCCCCTTCCTGCTGGCCAAGTACCCTATGAGGGCTGGGGGTGCACCCCCCAGGGCAGCCACTACCTTTTTTCTTCCCGCCTGTGGCTGGCCCACCCACGGTGGATTCCCAAATGCTTGTCTCTGCTGCCTTCTATAGACAAGTGGCAAATATGGTCCCAATTCAACTAAAGCTGGCATTGGGGTTGGCACATGGCTCTCTCCTTCCCTTAACCCACACATGCTTGCTAAAGGAAATCCAAAATCTCTGTCTCATAGCAGAAGAGCCACCTGGTATGGGACAGGGGAAAACAAAAAAAAATAAGGGACTAGTCTATTGCCACTAATCTCATGAAACTTTTCTTAATGTATAAATATTACCTCAAAAATCTGTGAGATGATTATGCATATATAACCTTTGTTGTTATACTAGTAACCATACAGAGTACCAACTCATTTTAGAAATAAGCTTCATCTCGCTTCCTGTATGTTTTCACGTTTGAGTCTGAAGCAGGTAACGAGGAACAAAGTTTGTGTGCCTCAATGTACTTAATAGTACATCGTGGTCCTCAAACTTTGTGGACATCTGCTAAGTCTTCAACAATAACCCATGACCATTCCTAACAGTAACCCTGAGGTCTCCAAGATGATGAGGCCCTGCCAGGATGAATTCACCTGGACTGTGGGAACACTAACCACTGGGAAAAACTGCCCCAAGCCTCTTCTGCCGCCAGGTTCTGAGCAAACAGTGGACACCTGTGGGTTGACTGCTGTGTTCTTCCTAGCCAGGATTGCCACTAGGCTGACAACCACCACCCAAAGATCAGCTTCAGAATACATACTGCTCAGGACATTCAAATTGCGGAGTTCACAGAAGACCGACATGGACATTTTACAGAACTTTGAACTCAAGAATACTTAATCCTCAAAGAGCCAAATACAACCAAGATGGACATTGTAGAAAGCTTGGTAGAAATTGCTACATTATTATAAATAATAAACCTTCCCTTTTTAGTTTTTTGTTTGTTTGGTTGGTTGGTTTGGTTTTTGAGACAGGGTTTCTTTGTGGAGCTTTTGTTGTCCCTGACTCAGTTTGTAGACCTGGCTGGCCTTGAACTCATGGAGCTCTGCCTGCTTCTGCCTCCCTGAATGCTGGAACTACAGTCGAGTGCTGGGATTTACAAGGGGGGGGGGGTTTGCAGGATATTTGATCACACTGTGAACCCAAGATTGTGTTGTTTACTGGAAAAACCTGTTTCTAGTTGTGATATGGCTCAGCCCTAGCACACACCTTTAATATAAGAGCTTTCTGCTTGAATACTGTAATCAGGATTAAATATAGTTAACCCTAGGTCAAGAGGCTGAGCAAGCAACCAACAGGAAGTGAACATAGCAAAAAAGTTAGAGGAAATCAGGAGGATGGCCAGAGGAAGTAGAAGGGAGGGATATTCAGTTGGAAGGAGGCTCTTAGACACTGTGGGAGTGAGGGTATTCCTTCTGGGATGTCAGCAGAGGAAGATCAGCTGGGTGCTTTCTCTGGCTCTCTGAGCTAGCCAACTTCCGCCCCAACAACTGGCTCCCAAATCTATTGGTAAATCAAATGACTGGGATTTTGTTAAAAACAACATTCTACCTCTCTCTTTTGCCTCTCTTTTCATAGCACTGCTGGTCTACATTAGATAGGGTTGGAGTAACATCCCTAATGTCCTAGTTAGTCTATTGCTGTGATAAAAACTATTATGAAGAGCAATAAGAAGTTTATTGGATCCATCATTGAAGTCAGGGCTGGAAGCTGGAGGCAGGAACTGAAGCAAAGGATGATGCTTATTGCTCATGGCTTGCTCCCCGTGGGTTTGGTTTTGTTTTGTTTTTTCAAGACAGGATTTCTCTGTATAGCTCTGGCTGTCCTGGACATCCTCTGTAGACCAGGCTGGCCTCAAACTCATGGGGATCCACCTAACTCTATCTCCTAAGTGCTGGGATTAAAGGCACGCACCACCACTGCCCAGCTCCCCCTGCTTTCTTATAGCACTCAGGACCACCTGTCCAGGGGTGGCACAGCCTCTGGTGGGCTAGGCCCTCAACTGAGGTTCCTCTTTCCAGATGACCCTAGCTTGTGTCAAGTCCGTAACAAACTAATCAGGACACCTAATGTCACAGATTCACTAGCAACACTCCGTGGGGAGCAGAGGCAGGAAGGTAAGAGCTGAAGGTCAGTCAGTTTGAGGCCAGGCTGGTCTTAAAGGTTGAGCACAACATTCACTAATAGTACTTTTATATAGCACTCAGTCTGCGCTGTGTTTTATATACTTGCCACAAAGCCCTACAGGTATCTATATGACAGTTCCTCACTTTGAGGTCAACTGAGACACAGAGATGAAGCGCCAGGACAAAGGTCGCAGGGCCAGCGTGAAGACTGGAAACTGGAAAGCCTCATTTGTTACCTCTAAGTTTCAACCTCTTGCGGGCAGGTCTCAAACTCCTGAATCTTACGTGTGAAACTTGCCTTTAGGCTGTTTCCAGCCCTCTGTCCCCTGCTTTCCTGCTCAGGTTGGACCCTGCTGCCATCTAGGTGAAAACACGGGAACACGGGGAAGTTGAGAGGCCCAATAAGAACAATCAATAGCTTCCGGAGCTGGAGAGATGGCTCAGTGGCTAACAGCACTGGCTGCTTTTCCAGAGGCCTAGGGTTCAACTCCCAGCAACCAGATGGCAGCTTACAGCTGCTTGTAACTCTGGCTCCAGGGGATCCAGTGACCTCTTCTGGCTTCTCTGGCCAGAAGACACTTCACTCATATTTTAAAAACCAGCAGCTTACCTATATCCTCTCTGCTCCAAAAGCCTAGGAGATAGCAGCACCTAGGGAGCCCGGCCACCACAGTGGACCCAATACACAAAAAGCTCTAGGCCACACACTGTGGATGCCTCCCCAGCATCCATCATGACCACCTGGGCATAGGCAGCCTCCTTTTCTATCTGGCTGAGCTTTGTCTTAGCAGCCAGGACCTTGGACAAGTATCCTTCCCTTCTGGAGTATTTGAGAAAGCAAGCCTTGGTGCCTAGCAGATGGATGGGAGTGGTGGAAAGCCCAGTAACAGAAAGAACTGCAGCAGTCTAGGTGTAAGAGGGTCGTAGAGGCAACAGGCTAAATCTGGAAGAGTTGTGAATGACTGGGCTGGGTTGAGCTTGGGATGTGGCCTGGGCTAGACCACCCACAATAACAGAACAAGAGGAAGGAGTGGCCCAGGCTACTCACCACTCACACACAGAGAGTGCCAGCCACCCGCAGCCACCTCAGCCATCCGCAGGCCCTGCAGTGCCTCCAGAAGCCTTGGCTCCAGCTCCGCCTCCAGCGCGCCGTGGCCCAGCTGCCCATGCCTGATCCGGGGAGTCCCTAATCAGCCTCAGGCACATGCACGAGACCGCCTCCTCCAGCTTCATCGAATCCCACCCAGCTGGTCCTCACCTGCCCCCACCCCAGGAGAACACCTGGCCAGCTTCGCACAGCAGCAGCGCATGCTCAGCGCCCAGCTCCAGCTGGCGCACCCGCAGCTCTGGGGCCAGAGGCTTGCAGAAGGGTGGCTGTGGGTTCACATAGGCACGGGCGCTGGGCAGCAGCGGCAGAGTCCTTGCTCTGGCCTCCCTGCTAGGTTCGTCTTTTCCTTGGGTTTCTGCTCCAGAAACCAGGTTCTGGACCCAGAGAGGCTCCCCCTGCAGCTCGGAGCCTGGTGGCCAGGCCTGCAGTTCGGTGTTGAAACCACCCTTGTCCCGCAGTAGCACCAGGAGTTCCTCCGAAGCCCACGCGTCCCTGCAGCCTTCTGCTGCGCTGCTCACAGAACCTGACAGCTCTACCCGGCCTCTACCTGTGTGGGTAGAGTGTTGGGACACATGCCAAGGACCTGGCAGGCAGTGAGGTTGCCAGACGAAGGGTAGGGGTATTTCTGGACAGGCATGTTCAGGAGGGTTGGGTAGGTGTACAGGGCACAGGCCTGGGGTAGGGTTGTGAGGGCACTTACGGGTCACCAGGGCAGTGTAGCTCCAGCTAGCACTCACACGGCAAACGTCATCACTGGTATTCAGTGGTTCGGGGCTGTGTACCGAATGGCGCCAGTTCCCAGAGCCCAGCGCTTGCCCAAAGCCACAGAAACCGAAGCCGAACCAGGTCCCGTGCCGTTCCTCTGCCATGCTCAGGCTGAGCCCTCTGTGGCTGGCCACCTGGCTGGGGCTAAGGAATGGAAGGTTAAGGCTGAGGAGATTCTTGTAAAGAGACTACCTCATGAATGCAGGCGATTCTGGCCATCCAAGGGGCTGGCGCTGTATTACTGTACCATAGAGACTAGATACTAATCACAGGGGCAAACCGTGTCCGTTCCACTCCTGCCTGCTGAGCAGGCCTTTGGCCAAAACTCCTACCATATTTGTGGAAGTGTGGAGCTGGGCGCTTCTCCCACTTGTGGCTTAAATCCAGCATGTCACTGTAAGAATATTACGTATGCATATTTTCTATCAAACACTATAAAACTTGTACAGGGAAAAAAAAAGGTTTTAAAGATTTATTAGGTGGGGGTCATCTCTGGATTGTGCCAGAGACAGGCCCTGGGAAGTCTATGCGGGCCACCCTAGCAGAGACTCCTAGCCTCAAGTGGCCACCTCCAGGACTTCCAGTGGAGGGATAAGGACGCCAACCTACCCACAAAACCTTTGACCCAAAATTTGCCCTGTCTACAAGATGCGCAGGGACAAAGGCGGAGCAAAGATTGAGGATCAGTCAACCAAAAACTGGCCCTACTTGAGACCCATCCCATGGGAGAGAACCAACCCCCGACGCTACTAATGCTGCTCCGCTGTGCTTGTAGACAGGCGCCCGGCATAGCTCCTCTGAGAGGCTTCACCCAGACGCAGAGACCCACAGCCAGACAATAGACAGAGCTCGAGGAGCCCTGTAGAGTTGGGGAAACAAGTGAGGGAGCTGGAGGGGTCAAGGACTCCACAAGAAGACCTACAGGTCAACTGACCTGGGCCCGTGGAGGCTCGCAGACAGCACGCATGGACTGGGGCTGGCCCCCACCCCACCCTGCACATATGTAGCAGATGGGCAGCTTGGTCTTCAAGTGGGACCCCCAGCAGCTGGAGGGGGCCCTCTCTGACTCCGAGCATTGCCTTGGGATCCCATTCTCCTAACTGGGCTGCCTTGTCTGGGAGAGGATGCACCTAATCCTGCAGCGACTTAATGAGGTACCCATGGGGCCCTCCCCCTTCTCTGGGGAAAGGACAGGGGAGGAGGGAGGGGAGGGACTGAGAAGAGGGCGAGCTGCGATCAGGGTGTAAAGTGAAAAAATAACTAAAAATTTTAAAATAATTTTTAAAAACACCAGTTATTATTTTGGGCTGGAGAGATGGCTCAGCAGTTAAGAGCACTGGCTGTTCTTCCAGAGGACCTGGGTTCAATTCCCAGCACCCACTTGGCAGCTCACTACTGTCGAAAGGACGAAAATGACCATTCGCTCTTACCGGATTTCAGAGACACCTGGCCATTTCCACTGGACCTTACTCGGTCGTTTATTCTTTCAACAGCCTTTCTCGCGCCCTTCCAGCGGCTTCATGAGGCGGCTGCGGGCCCCAGGGAGCGTACGCTGAACTGGGGAGACGGACAGCCGCAGGATGCCAACAGCAACGCCACTTCCTTCGACTGGATCGCTATTTTACAGACACTCTCAAGCCGGAACCACAGCTCCCGGATCCCTACCCAAGGGGACCTTTGACCTTGCCCTTCACCCTGTCCCCTCGGAACCGACCAGGAAAGGCCTTTCAGCAGGAAACCTCCGACACCGGCCCAGCCCCGGGGCAGACCGCGTTTAAAGGGCCGCGCGCCAGGCGGTCATTGGCAGCAGTAGCCCATCGCAGGCGCGAGCGGCGACGTCATCGCTCCGTGCGGCGGCCTCCCGGAAGTGCTCACCTGTCCTCCTCCGAGCCAGTGAGGGCCGCCTCCGGCGAGCGCCGGCGCCAGCGGACGCGGTTGGAGCCACTGAAGGGCTACGCATGAAGAGTCGGCGGGGGAGGACCAAGCCGCGACACCCGCCATCCCCTTTGGGCGAGGAGGGCGGCTCTTCCCTCCTGAACACGCGCAGAACCGGCGCCCAGACGGGAAGTGGCTGTATTAGCGCCTTCGCTGATTGGCTCAGGCTCTGTCGTTTACTTGTACTGAGCCAATGAGCCCCAATCTTGGACTCCCAGCCTCTAAGAGACCGGTGTCCCCAGTCAGGGGAGGAACGTGTTTGAACCACCTTCTCCTTCAACCAGGCACAGCTACAGATGCCAAACATTGCCCGGGTGGACATCACCGAAAACTGACGATGTCATGACAAATGTATGCCGGGGCCAGCCAGCATGTAAGACAGTATCTCACAGACACAGGAATTTCATCAGTTTCCTAGGCTTTAGGCTCACCCTTCCACCAGGCCCTGACAGACCTCAGGCCGGGTACGGTGGCACCCCTGTGACTCCCACTACTCTAAAGGATTATCAGTTTGAAGGCAGCCTGGCCTACCCGTTTGGGGGCTCTGGCTCCCTTCTCTTGCGCTTCGCTGCTGCCCCAGCGCCTCCCGCCCTCGGCACTCCCTGCCACACAACACACGCTTCCGTTCCACGTGATTTATTAGCGGGGTGTGCCTGCTGGCAGGCTCCGGTGACGCCCGCAGCTTTTGGGTGATGCTGCTGTGCCCTTCCTTCTTGATGCCCACCATCCACAGGCTCGAGCTGGAATGCACTTTCTCCATTCCCAGCTCTCTACAGTACAGAGGGCCCTTCTGAGTGCTGTGTGAATCCCCCAGGGCAGAGACCATCCAAGTGCAGCTTGGGGAAGAGAGGCGAGTGTCCAGCGTCCCGGTCCCATTGGCCACGCTGCTTCTGTCCTGGCTCCCTAAGCTCCCGCAGGTGGCAGAGCGCCGATCCTCACTCCCGCTCCCGGTTGGGTTGGATGAGCCTGTATTCCACGGCTTTGCCCAGGCAGGCTGCAGCAGCCCTGGTGACCGGGCTCTCTTCACCCTTGGCCAACACCGACAGGATCTCCAGGACCTCACTCTCCATCAGGGTGCTGGCGATCTCCTTCGAGGCCTCCACCATGTTCAGCGCCAGCACCGTGCCCCGGTGTTGCAGCTCCTGGTTGGGGCTTAGGAGCAGGGACTGCAGGATCTCCAGCCAGTGTGTGGTCTGTGGGAGACGGTGCGAGTGAAGACCCAGAAGACCCAGCAACAACTGCAGAAGACACGACCCCCGCAGAGCAATACCACCACGTGGGGAGCTGCTAGTTCCCTCCCCCTCCCCTGCCAAGCGCAGGCACTAACCACTTGTGGGATGCGGCTGCAGAGGGAGGGCCGCAGGGAGGTGAGCATGGCCAGGCCGCCGGCGGCAGCCCTCCGCAGCAGCTCATCCTCCTCTCCGCTGTACAGCACCAGCAGCTTCAGCCGGTCATTGCCCTGGGCCTCAAAGAGATCCTGCACCTGCAGCCAGATGGAGGAAAGGACCATGGCACCGGCACAAAGCCATCTGCGTCCCTGTCAGGGGGAGCAGCTACACCAAAGCCTCACCTCTTTGCTCATGGCCAGGTTACACATGCACTCGGTAGCTGCCCGGCGGATCATCTCATGCTCCTCAAACATGTAGCCCTCGACCATGGGCACAGCCTTCTCCTTCAGGATCTTCTGCCTGCAGGACGAAGTTGGAAGGGTCTGCATGGTCAGAGCCTCCACAGCCCGGCCCCCGATCTCCCTGTGATTAGCCCCAAGCGGAGGAGCAGCCCTAGCCATGTCCAAAGACCTTCCTGTGCGAGTTAGGAGCTGCAGAGCTTTCTAGCCTCCTGACCCGGCTAGAACCAGCATGGGTTGTTGGGGACGCTGAAATTAGCAAAGCAGGGTGGTTGTGGTGATGGCGATGTGCGGAACCGGACACACCTGCTTGGATGATTCCACCTAACACTAGTCATCACCCCATGATGCTTGGGTTATCTTACTTGATGCTCACCCTCCACCATGGCGAAAGTGCGGGGGTGGTTACCGTAACTAATTGGCCGAAGGGGAAACTGGGCTGGGTGCTGAGTAATGTGTTCAAGGCCGCAATTAGTAATAACAGCTGACCGTGATTACTGCTAGGAGCAGGTACCTACGAACCAAGGGCTTCTGGGTTGGGGTGGGGGAGCTTTTAAGACAGTTTATAGCCTAGCCTGGCCTAGAACTCATACCACTCTTCCTCCCTTGGCCTCCCCTGGCATGAGCCACCATACCCACTTGTGCCTAAAGCCTTTTGTATGCATTTTCTCAGTGAATTCTCTGTGCTACTACCTCAGTTACATACTTAACTCACAGAGGGGAAACTGAGGCAGGATGACTTAAAAGACTTGCCTAGGGTTATACAATGAGCCAGTGAGTTTAAGCAACATGAGGAGAGGAGGAGGAAGTGAGGGGCACCGTCAGGGCCCCAGAGCTGAACTGCTTGGGCTCTATATCTACTGGGTTGTGTGAGGCAGATTGGAACTCCAGGCGGTCTGAGTTCCCAGCTTGTAGCATTCTCGCCCTGTGCCACCTTGGTACCACCCTTGGCACGACTCTTCCTGTATGACACAGAGTCATTATGAGGCACAAAAATGACCAGGAACTGTTTTCCAAACTGTGGAGTACGCAACTGGGGCCAGCCGAGCTCCATGGGACCTTACCTGAGCCTCTCACTGATGCCTGCCAGGTTCGTTAGGGCCATGAGGGCCTCAAAGTTCTGCAGTCCTGAGCAGCTGAGGTGCAACAGAGAGACAAGGGGCCGGACCACTTCGTAGATCTGTGGTGCACACCCCGCCTGTCAGTGCTCCATGCAGTGGCCCCCAACCTCACCACCCCACAGCAGGGGGCCTGCCCGAGACAGAGACAGCAGAGGCCTCTATGGCTGTCCCCACCCCAGGACTCAGCAGAACTGCCATTTCCCTGTGGTCATGAAAGGGAGCCCGGGCCAGGGGCCATCAGGGCATAATGAGGAAACAAGAGAGGTCACAGTTGGAGCAAGGAGACACATACCCGCTCTCCAGGGAAGGTCATCTCTGGGTTGGAGGTGATGGTAAGCTTGGCAAGAGCCTGGGCTGCCTTTGTCTGCCCAACATCGGTGCCTTCCACGGCCAGCGGGAGCAGAGCCTGCCAAACAGTCCCTGGCCTGTCAGTGCCCAGTGTGGGCCTGGGAGGACAAGGCCCAAGCCACCACTCCTGACTGCACCCTCCCTCTCATTCTCTCCTTGGGCCCGAGAGCCATCCCTGCTGAGATTCTTCCTCATTCTGAGCTCTGTCCTTGAAACTATCCAAACGTTCCTCAACCACCTATTAGGTGCTAACTATCGGTTGTGCCGGGCCCTGGGGCCACAGGCGGAGGAGGAGAACTCCGAATCTTTATGGGCCCAAAGTGCTGAGGGACTCTGAGGAGCCTGTCCACATCAGCATCACAAGCTGGCAGGAGTTCCTGTTGGTCACTAATAGTGGCCCCAAGGCCAGCAGCCACTGAGTCCTGTTTTATGGGCGGCTCAGGGTCAGGAAGGAGTCAGAAGGCAGCTTACCTTGCCCCCTCCCTGGGCCACCACAGTGCCTCGATCCTCCACCTCTTCCACCAAAGCCAGGAAGACCCTGCAGGGGAGAAGGCGTGCTGAGTGGGCAGGGCCCACGGCCCCAGCAGGCAGGCATTTCACTCTCAAGCTAAGCCAAGTCCAGCAGCCCAGCGCTCTGAGGTTCACAGGGCACAGCACCCACGCCTACAGGCCTGCGGCAGGCTGGCTGAGTTAGGAGGGGCAGGCTGGCCTACCTGGAGAGTAGCTCCCTACAGGAGTTGGTCAGCACAGGGCTCTCTGTCTTCACCATGCATGTCATGGCTGACACCACGCCTGCTGCTAGCAGCTTCTTCACACGGGCCCGCACGAAGCTTGGTTTGTCCTGCAAGGAGGCAGTGTGGGAGGGGCCCGAACTGACTTGATAGGAAAATGTGGGCCCTTTTCAACAGCAGAGAATGCTGAGCATGGAACCAAGTGGCCACGACAGACCTTGGAAATAGCCAGTTTGGAGGAAGGCTTTCTGCTGAAGATCAATCCTGCCAACAACAGGGACCCCTCGCCCCCCTGGCAGACCCCTTACCTTAGGGTGCTGCTCAGGAACATGCTGCTTGGCATACTTGGCCAGCTCCACCATCTTGGGGTCAGGCTCCTCATAGTCGTAGCTGTTGGTGCAGTTCACCAGCGCCGAGGCTACCGCAAAGAGCACTGACCTCTCCTCGGACTGCCAGGAAAGAGGGGGCATTGAGCTCGCAGTCCCAGAGAGCAGCAGGGCTTGCTGCAGCTGAGCTAAGCCTCCATCCCAGCCTCTGTGGCCCCACCTGGAACCCAGGGGGACGCTGGGAACCTGCCCCAACCCCAGACTCAGAGCTCACAATCCCGGCTCCTTAACTCCGCCAGCGCCTGTGATCCCAGACACTGCAGGCGCCAAGGCCACGCCATGCCTTGGCAACTGGCTCCGCTTCCCGGGGAGCACAGGGACGTTGATGCAACCCGCCAAAGCCTGGTAAGCTCTCATCCCAGATCCTGCCCCCAGGCCGAGAGCAGGAACCCACAGAGCTACCCTGCTAAGCTGGAACAGGGCCTTCAGCGCAGCCTCGTCCTCCACAAACTCCTCCTTTACGTCAGCATCAAAGGTGAGGTAAGCCAGGCCCTCCACTGCCCAGCGCCGGGTGCCCGGGTCAATCTGGTCGTTGCACAGCCACCTAGGGACACGTATGACAGTGGAAGACCATCAGGTGTGAAGCGGGAGCCAGAGGTAAAGTCCCACAATCTCAGCACTCAGGAGGGTCACAGGTTCTAGGTCAGCCCGGGCTTAGTGAGACCCTATCTCAAACAAACAAACAAAAAATAAAACAGCAAAAAATAGTGGGTGAAGGAAAAAGGAACCTGGACAAGGAGGAGAGCCAGGAGCTTGGGTCTGCCCTTGACATGGGAACTTATGAGTGAGGATGTAGGAGGATTTGTCCAAAGGGAAAACAGCTCCTGCCTGGGTCAGACAGCAGGAGACAGCTCTATTGACTGCCCTCCTCAAAACAGTGTGTGCATGCACACCCATCAGGCCAGAGGATGATGTCAGTGTCCTGCTCCGTCTTACTCCCTTGGAGAAGGTCTTTCACTGCAGCTGAAGCTAGGCTGGCAGTCGGCAGGCCCCACTGGACCTTCTGTCTCTGTCCCTCTCCGCCGCAGCCAAGCGTAGCCAAGACAGGCGTGTGGACAACCACACCCAGCTTTTTTTTTAATTTTTTAAAAATATATTTATTTATTTCCTGTATGAGTGCCCTGTCTGCATGTACATCTGCATGCCAAAAGAGGGCATCAATCCCTTTGTGGATAGTTGGAGGCCCCCATGTGGTTGCTGGGAATTGAACTCAGGACCTGTGGAAGGGCAGACAATGCCCCTAACCACTGAGCCATGTCTCCAGCCCTCACCCTTGCACCCACCGAGAATCTCTTCAGTTCCACACCCTCTCTTAAGGTCTGTCCCAGAAAGGGAGAATTACGACTTACTTTCGGCACTGCTTGGCCAGTTTGAGAGTAGAGCCTTCAGCAAACTGCTTCATGCTGAAGTCAGTCCCTCCAGCTGACCCGAGCTTACAGAGTCCCTGGAGGAAGAGGACAAGACCAGTAGTTTGATGCTCAGGATGGAGACAACAGCCTGGCTCTCCTACCCAACTCGGGGTCTCTCCCCGGCCCGCTGTCATGGCTCCTGGAGGACCACAAACATTAATTAATCAACAAATTCCCCACAGGTGACACACGGAATGTTAGGCAGCAGTCACCTACTGAGGTGGCCCCAGGACAGCAACCAGGAGAAACTGACACATTGGCCACCCTGGTATCCTGAGCCTCCGCCCTTTCCACACTCATTCCCATTCTACACGCAGATTTACTCTGTCCCTTTCAGGTCATATAAAAAGTACTTTGTGCCAGACACAGTGGTTCACACCTGTAATCCCAGGCCTTGGAAGGTAAAGGCAGAATGATCAAAAGCTTAAGGCCAGCCTCTGGTCTACAGTGAGTTTGGGGCCAGCCTGGGCTACATTAGACCCTGGCTCAAAAGAAAGGAAAGTACTTTAACCATGGCCTAAATTCTTACAAGACAGAGACCCAGAGCTAACGGCCTGTGCTAGCTGGTTTCTTTGTTAACTTTCAACAAGCTAGAGTCATCTGGGCAGGAGGAGCCTCAGCTGAGGAATGGCTTCCATCAGATCAGCCTGTGGTGAGGCGCAGGCCACTGGTGGGGGCTTCATCTCTGGGAAGGTGGCCCTGAGGTGTACGACAAAGCAGGTTGAGCAAGCCACGAGGAAGCCAGCAAGCAGTGCTCCTTCCTGGTATCTGCCTCACTTCCTCCTTCCTGGTCCCTGCCTCAAGTTCCTGCCCTGCCTTCCCCTCTCAATATACGCTGTAACACGAAATGAAGCCTTCCCCTCCAAGTTGTTTTTGTTTGTGGTGTGCGTCACAGCAACAGAAAGCAAACTGGGGCAGTGGCCACGGAGGAGAAGGCGACCCTACAGTAACGGCTACAGCTGGAAGCCTAGAAAGGCCCCATACACTTTCTGTTTTTCCACAGGCCTCTCTAACCAGCAAGGGGACAGTCTGAGGCACCCTACAGACATCCTTTGTACCTGGATCATCGCCTGCTTATCATAAGCCCTTCAGTGACAGGAGCCAGGTCCACGCCAGTCACCCTAGCAAGGTTCTGTGTATACCTTCTCCTACAGTGCCGAGGCTACCCCAAGAGACACCATCTGACTGGTACCCCTGTCCGACCGCGTAGCCGCGCCTCCCATCTCACCACTAGTGCTCTGATGCGGATGCTGTCCCTCTCACTGCACTTGTAGAGGTCCTTGAGCAGCGACACACCATTGGCAGTGATGAAGGAGGCCCGCTTGGCTTTGCCCGCTGCGTGGATCAGCGCCTCCACTGCCACCAGCTGCTCCTCCTCTTGCTCAGAGGCGCACAGAGCGATCACGCTCTCCATGACACCGCTCAGCTCCAAGGCCCGGTTGCCAGCATCACATGGGCCCTGCAGAAGGCAGGACACTGTCTGGATGGCTCGCAGCTTCCCGGCCAACCCTTGGCCCTCAAACCAGCTCCTAAGGGGCACAGAGTTAGAGCTGTCACGCCAAAGTACACGTAAGGGACCTCTTCTCCCCACTCCCCCTGTAGCGGACGGGCACCTGGTGCTACTTGGGCAGAAACGGCAAGAGAAGTTGCCAAGGGGAAGAATGACCATTCCAGCACAACGGCCATCACCAGTTGGTTAGCTACCCTCCACTTGAGCCTCGCTGGTGACACAGCACCAGACAGGTTATTCTCACGCACATCGCCCCGCCCCATTCCTTTCCTGTACTGCTTAAGAGCATCCTACTGCAAGTTACTATTGTCAGCCACTTCCCCTCGCTGCCAACCCCCCAAGGGTGGACTGTCCCGTTTAGTCCATGGGTTATAAAGGAAAGCCAGGAAGTACTTGACTCTTCTGTTGTGCGCGAGACATTTGTTGTGGTATTGGAAAATCAATTTAAAAGTTCTCCTGGTGCAGTCACTTTGGAACAAGAAGCAGGTATTGGGCCAGGCACAGTGACATACAACTGCATGTCCCGGCTACTCTGGAGCCCAGGAGTTCTAGGCCAGCCTGGGCTACATAGCATGATTCCCATATCAAAATAACAGGGTCTGATTGCACGAATGAATGGCTCCCATGAACTCATGTATTTGAATGTTTGGTCTGTAGCTGGTGGAACTGTTTGGGAAGGACTAGGAGGTGGGCCTTGTTAGAGAAGCTGTGGCACTGGGTAAGCTGTGAGCTCCAAAGCCTACACCAGTCCAAGTTCATGCTTGTTCACCCTCCCTCTCTCCCTCTCTCTCTCCCTCTCTCTCTCTCTCTCCCTCTCTCTCTCTCTCTCTCTCTCTCTCTCTCTCTCTCTCTCTCTCTCGTGGCTGTCTTAACATAACATGTACGCTCTCAGTTGCTGCTCCAGCACCATGTCTGCCTGCTGGCTGCCATGCTCCCTATCATGATGGTTATGTCTACTCGTGCTCTGAAACTGTGAGCCCCCAACAGACTCTTTTATAAGTTGCCTGGGTCATGGAATCTCTTTACAGCAATGGTAAAGTAAGCAAGAGATGGGGTGGGGATGCTGGGGATGACTTTAGCAAACTGGTCCTCCCTTAGGGAGGACTGAAAGGCTGTCTCGCTGGCACCCCTGGCAGCGGGAGAAGCCCGCTCTCTCACCTGATGTAGTTCTCACAGAGGCGGTGGAAGTTCTCCCTCTCGGCATCACACTTCAGGTCATCGAACAGCTTGCTGAGGAGGATGGAGGCACTCATGCGGCTGTTTGCTGTCACCGTGAGCTCCCCAGCAGCATCTGGCAGGGAGCCCCCCACCTCCAGAATCTTTTTCAGACCTGGAAAGATACCCCATTTAGACAATAGAGCATTGGCGCCAACCCCTAAAGGTAGAGACAGACCAGGAGATGCAGAGAAAAGCAAGGCCACCTCTCTCAGCCAGGAAGGTCAGAGTTCAAACAGTGGCATGACAGGTGTAATGGGAAAAACAGAAGCAGATTCACCGGATCACTGCAGAGGGCTGCTGGGCAGGGCCCCTGCAAGCCCTTTCTTACTTATCTTATTGGAAAACAACAAGTGTAAACTGCTACGTTATGACTTGGCTGTCTTTCTCTCCAAGCACAGCAGTGACACATATACACTAAGAAAACCTTCCGACAGGCCAGTGAGATGGCTCAGCAGGTAAAGGTGCTTGCCACCAACTCTGGCGACCAGAGGTCAATCCCACAACCCTCAGAGCAGAAGGAGAAAACCAAACTTTGCTTGTTATCCTGACTCCCAGCAGTGTCACAGCATTTGAACACACAAACACACACATGCACGCAGAGGTCTACATGGAATAGAGAAAAGTGACACTGCCTTTCTGTTGGCCTTCTTCAGTACTGGACAATGTGCATGCACTTTCCACACACACACACACACACACACACACACACACACACACACACACACAGAGGCCTACATCAAGTAGAGAAAAGCAACCCTGCCTGTCTGTTGGCCTTTTTCAGACTACGCAATGTGCATGCGTTTGCACACGCACACACATGGCACACACACAACTGGAGGGTCTCAGGGCTCCTCGTAGGGGTTGCGAGGGCCACAGGCGGTCAGCTCAGGACAGCACGCCACGACGTGCGACTGCTGCTTCCCTTGTCACTCCTGCAGAAAAGCAGGCCTCAACCGCCCAAGCAAGTTTTTCTAAACTGCACCACCTACCTTGATCGATGACCCAGAGTGTGAGGCTGTTGTTGGGGTCCTTCGGAGATTTCCGCGGTACCATTTTAATGAGGAGAGTCAGGGTATTGTCACGGCCTTGGCCGGAGACCCCCACCTCAGTCAGGAGGTCTAAGAGGTTACTGATGAGGACCTTCAGCTCCCGGGCAGGATCTGTCAACAGTACGTGTTAGTGATCAATGTCCGTGACATTATGGGTTCAGTCCTCCACACAAAGACAAAACAGCACAAGAGAAAAAGGTCCATTAGTGGGCTCTACGTGACCAGCCCTGTGTGACTGTTGAACTCCCCAACAGTCTGAGAGATTCAGGCAAAGGAGAATTCCCTCCTGGGTCCGGAGCTGAGCCCAGCTTTCTCCTCAAGCACCTTGGCTATTAGACTCCAAAGGAAAAGCTGGGTAAGGAGACACAAACCCATGCCAGCACTCGGGAGGCTGAGGCAAGAAAACTGAGGGCCCAAGAGCAACATGGCAAGTTCTGAGCCAGCATCAGTTCCATAGGGAGATCTTGTCTCAGCAAAACAAAAGAATCTAGAGTACAATATGACCACTGGGCCACGAATAATCTGGAGTGGCAAATCTCATCCTGAGAGACTGGCTGGGCGGGTTCAGCCTCATCCCCTCTAAGACAGTACCATCCAAAGGATGAGACCTGCTTGCACTCACCCACGATAATGGCACCTTCTTTGCCCCGGAAGCCTTTCTTGATACCTTCCTTGAGGGCATCAAACATAACTTGCAGCAGGTGGCAGGCTGCCAGCGACACGGCCTGGTTTTCCACGCCCAAGATGGAGACTACTCTCCGAGTTCCCAGAACACTCAGGGTCGCCACTGTCTGGGGTGCAAAAAGAGTTGGACAGAGGCTCTGGTTGGTAAAGGGCAGCCACGGTAAGTTATTCCTAATGGTAAATGGCCGGAAAGTGAGCAAACACCTGGGCGGACAGGCCAGCTCCAGTGAAAAGGAAAGCAGGTCTGTCTAATGGTATGGCCTGGAGTCATGTCATGCTTCCTGTTAAATAGGAGCTAAAGAAAGCATCCCATCGAGGAGAGCCAGGACCACATACTGAGACAGTGCCTGAAAATGAGGAAGAGGAGGAGGACACATTCCAGAGTCCTCATCCACTCCTGCTCTCTGTAGCTCAAGAGAAGACAAGCCCCAGGAGTGGCTATTTGGCCTCATGTCTCCTCCAGAAGGAAGCACACCTAGACAGAGCTTCCTGATCGATGCCAGCTCCTTCCCAAACCCAGCACTAAGGTCTGTGTGCGCCTGAGGGTGTGAACATGCTTGGGCGCACCTGCAAGGCCTCTCCATCTTTCTTGTAAGCCAGAGAACCCAGGAGGCCTGATGGGCTCATCCCAGCTCACTCAGACCTGCGGGAGCTAGAGGTTGCCAAGGGATGCGCATGTTTGACTATTCTAAACATAGCCCAGGCTTGGCCTCAAAGGATTTCATTGAATACGTCACAATCTCCCCTTCTTAGAATTGGAGCGTCCTCTAAAAACAATCAAGGAGCCCAGCATGGCAGCACATACTGAAATCCCAGAGGGACCACGAGTTCAAGGCAGCCTAGACTATGTAAGAGCCTGACTCTAAATATACACATTTATAGACATAAAAACATACCAATCAACCAGAGACCAAGTCTCTACCTCCTGGGTCCAGCTAGCACAGGCAGGAGCTGGGGACATGGGCTTTCGCAGCCCAGGAGCAGGGCCTTTCTTGCTGTACTGTCCATGCCAGGACAGCAGTCCATGCTGCTCATCGGGTCACTGTCTCTAAGGCTGTTGGTGACATCACTGATCTCTCTCATTTCCAAAGCCCTTTCTGAGCAGCCTGAAGTGGGGCAGTGACCAGGTGTCCCTGTGAACTGGCATCGAGAGTAACGGTCAAGCTGTGAGGGGGCTACGTTTGCCCTTTCTGGTCCTACCTACTCTATCCTAATTGAGTGGATCCCCTCTAGCTGTGGATCTCCTATCTGTGCGTTCAGCTGTTTGGGGAACAAGATGAGGAATGAAAGAGTAGATAGGTAGATGGAGTTAACAGATAAATGGACAGACGTACAGACTGAAGCAGTAACTAGACCTCGCCACACCTACCCGAGACTGGTGCTCAGAACAAATGCCAACCAGCGTGCGCAGGGCTGCCAGCATGAGGTCAGTCTCTCCTGTGTCCAGCAGCTGTTGCAAGAGCTGAACCCCATTGCTCCGGAAGATCTTCTCAGCTCCAGCATCCTCTCGGGCCAGTACCACAAGGTTCTGAGAAGCCTACACCAGAGAAAGCACATTCTAATGTTGACACCACATATACCCAAGGGTAAGGCAGGCAGAGGGGCCCTGAGCTCTTGACCTCACTGCTTCTCCTTAGCATCTGAGAGCGGCCAGCCATAAGTTCAACCTCTGGGAACTTCAGCTTCCCTCCCTTCAAGTAGAAATGAGAGCTTGCTCTCCTAGGTGATGGTTACAGCGGAATCCCTAACAGAGCTTCAAGGGCAAGGACAGCACCTCAGTCACACTCTATGCCACCTCCTGGCCCCAGGATGGCCACCAAGGTGCTCTGCAAACACTAGTTCCCTTTGCTTGCTTCACACTAAAGACCCGATCCCCAAGAGCTCCTATGCAGGAGGCTCAGCCAGCCAGGAGGACTCCTGAAGCCCACACTGGTGAGCACGGAGCTGTGCAAAGGAGCTCCAGCGGCTCACTCCAAGACCCGTACCTTCTGTTTCTTCTCTGTGCCTTTCTCTTTGGGGTCCAACAGTATCTGAAACATCTGTTCAACTTTGGCATCCGTCGAGGACATGTACCGCACCTGTGACAAAGCATCAAAGCACAGAAGCAATCACCTTTCTTGGTCAGACATGTCACATTTCCTATGAGTTCTCCTTGGCTCTCCTCCCTGGGTGGCTCCGCACTCAGGGCCAACAGCGAGCAGCCGTGGCAGGCAGGAAGAGACTTGCCATCTCCTTGCATCTCCTCCTAAACTTCCCGAGGCTGTTCTCCTCACTGAACTATTTCCTGCTTGGGCAATAGGGCCTGCTGACGCTAAAGGAAGTGCCTTCAGAAGGCAGGCATCTTGTTAGCCATAAGGAAACCCACTCCCAGCAGTGCCAGCTCTACCACAGCAGCAGAGCATAAACACGCTACTACGGCACTGCACTTGACATCAATCACAAGAGGCCAGGAAGGTTATGAGGTAGCTGCTGACATGCTCTTTGAGGCTGTTTGTGTGTTTGTGTGTGTGTGTGTGCGCACACGCATGTATACATTAAATCAAAGTATTTTTTGGAAAGCCTCTTTAATCCCATTCTTTTTTTTTCAATGTTATCATTTTTATAAAGACAACACACACACACACACTCTCTCTCTCTCTCTTTAATGTAGACCAAGCTGGTCTTGAACTCACAAAGATCTATCTGCCTACCTCTGCTGCCTGAGTGCTGGGAATGTCCTTTGGTGTACATTTTTAAGAGGCCTTTTTTTTTTCCCCCCAAGACAGGATTTCACTGCATAGCCCTAGCTGTCCTGGAACTCACTCTGTAGATGAGGCTGGCCTGAAACTCAGAGATCCTCCTGCCTCTGCCTCCCATGTGCTGAGATTTAACAGCCTTTTTTTAATCTTTTGAGACAGGGACTCACTATGCAGTCCAGGCTGGCCTTGAACTCAAAAGTTCCTGCCTCTGCCTCCCGAGTGCTGGGATGAAGGGCGTGTGCCGAGACCTCCCAACTTAACAGGCTTTTGATGTACAACTTTAATACTTTTCATTGTACTTACATTTACTTACTCAGATACACTACATGGGTCACTAGCTCAGAGAAAGAGCACTTTCCTGTCATTATTACTGCATGCTCTGCCTTTCCATCCACCAAGAGGCAGAGCACTCTCTATGCTCACACATGACCCACTTCTCAGAAATGGCAGCAATGGCCTCGTCTGTTTAGTTTTCCTCTCCTGGCTGGGCATTTAGGCAAGTTCCAAGTTTGTCTTACTATAAACAAGACTGAAATAAAAGTCAGACATCTGAAATCCCAGCCCTTGGAAACCAGGCCATGCACAGCTACACAGTAAGTCCAGGACCAGCCTCGGCTACCTGAGATCCTCTCTTTAAGAAGTAAAAATAAGAGCTGAAGAGATGACTTAGCGGTTAAGAGCACTGGCTGCTCTTCTAGGCTCTTCCAGAGGTCCTGGGTTCAATTCCCAGCAACCACATGGTGGCTTTCAGCCATCTGTAAGTGAATCTGATTCCCTCTTCTGTTGTGCATAAAAACAGTGTTCATATATATAAAAAAAATAAGTAAATATTTAAAAAGTAAAAATAAGAGTGTTTTTGGAAGCAGGAGCATCAGAGGTTCAAGGCCAGCTTAAGGTAGGTAGTGAGTCTGAGTCAGCCTGGGCTAACCAGATCACCAGATGTTCTTTACAAGTTCGATAAGCTAAAGCGCTGCAGCCTAATGGAGTCTCGCCAGTTCATGCCTTCCCCAGCTGCCTGAAGAGCCCACACACCCACAGCCACCTGCCTCACACTCTGCCAAGTGTACAAACTTTTACACACACCAAACAACCATGCTTCCAGTGTGATTTCCTCCAACAGGCTGAGCACTATCAATGCCTGTTTGCTACCAGTAGCTCCTCTCTGGAACCCTGTGTCTACTCTCGACCCAGACCCAGGCAATGCCCAACTTCTCTTGGTCTTTCACACACCTTCTCCTGAATCTGGCCCCCAATGTTCCTCAGGGACTCCTGGAAAACTTTGTTCTTGGGTTCTAGGCTCACACATCTCTTCAGGTCAAGGACGGCCTGGTCCAGGCGGCCCAGCTTCTCTAGGGCTTGGCTTCGACGATAAAGTGCTTTGACGTCCCCACCGTCCTTTTCAATGGCTGAGCACAAACAGGAGCTCTGTCAGCACCCATGAGGCCACCGTCTCCAGGCAAGAGCAGGAGGGAAAGATCTTGAGGGCCAGAGGAAGGTGGGGGATATGAATGTGGAGCTCGGTGCTTCAGCCTCAGAAAAGGTGAGGGCAGCTGCAGAAAAGGAAAGGCCGAAGAAGTGGGAAAGCAAGTAGAAAGATGAGTGTCTGGGACCAAAGGAGGAGGAGATAGAGGGGGCTCAGCGGTCCCAGAGTCCTTGCCCACCATAGAAGACCCACAGCTCCAGATGACGGCCCACACTCCCTACCTTTAGTCGCCTCTGACTCTGCTTTATTGTAATCTTCCTGTAAGAGAAAACAGATCGCTTGTTCTGCTGAGCCAAGCGATCCCACCACCACCACCGATACCCAAAGACCTGAGACAACCGTGGGCGGTGAGGAAATAGCCAGCTGGGGAGCACACAGCAGCGGCTATGGGCAATCCCAGCGGCTATGGGCGGCTATGTGGAGCCAGGCTAGGGCAACCCGACCCCCTCACCAGCTTGAGGTGGCAGGCAGCCCGGTTTCGGTGCAGAATGGCCTGGTCCTGGGGCGTCACGCCGAGACTCAGGGCCTGGGTGTAGGCGGACAGGGCGCCCTCGTAATCCCCGCATTTGAACAGCTCGTTGCCCTCCTTCCGCAGCTCCTCGGCTGAGCTGGCCTGTGGAGAGAGAGAGGCGGTGGGCTGAGCAGCGCGGATGGGAGAGGAGCCGGGTCCAGGGCGAGTTCGGAGGAGGTGACCGCGGCCAGGTGCGAAGGCGCATGTCCGAAGGGGAGATGCCACTGTAGAGGATCAGTGCGCACCCCGGGGACGGAAGGTCGGGGCTCGGGGGTCCCAGGGCTACTCACAGTCATCACGAAGCTGGGCTGTAGGGCCGGCGCAGCCACGGTCCCCGGAGCAAAGGTGGGCCTGGGCTCGGGAAGGCGCCGGTGGCCGCCCCGCCCCGCCCCAGCAATGCGTCAGAGGCACGCCAAAGAAGGCGAGGCCGAGGAGAGGTTACGTCTGTGGAAGGGCGGGAGGCTCGGTCGCGTTGCGCCGGCGCCTGCGCAGGCTCAAGGACGCTTCAGCAGCGCCTAGTCTGTTCTCACTGGGGCCTGCAGGGGGCGCGCAGCGGAGACCCGAAAGGAAAGGCGGCGGCCGCTGCAGTTTTGCCTTTCCCTCCGTCCCCGGCCACGGCAGAAGTGCACGAAATCTGTGGTCATCAGTGCCATCAGCAGTACACTGTAGAGGCCCAGTGCTAAGAGCGGGCCTGGGCCCCTGTGGGAGAGGGAGTCAAGATTGTACGCCGGCTGCGACTAGTCAGGGCTTACAGAGCCCAGAAAGTCCCGAGAAAGCGCATGAAAAATACAGACTGCCTGCACATACTGCAATCGCGTACACATTTGGGAGCTCGCAAGTTCCTTGACGACAAACCCGGCTAAATTCAAAATTAAACCTACTACAATGTGTCCTCGGACTACAAGAGCCTCTCTGTGGACACCGTCCAAACCCCTAATAACAGGCCTCCCAGAGCCCAAGACTCTGGAGCACCCTGTCACTGTTCTGTGGATCTGGGACTTAGAGGTCTCACCTCAGGATGGGTGGGGGCTGGAGAGTAGACACGTTTACTTGGTACAGGGCCTCAAATTCATCCAGGGTACAGCAGGAAGGCCCGGCAGCCTGCAGGTGGCAACAGTAGGCTTCCTGGGGAGTATCAGAGAGGCGAGGGCAGAAGAAACCAGGGTAGTGGCGGCCTGCGGCATCCCGTGTTGTCTGGCACAAATGCGGGTGGTGAGCCAGTGCTGGAGAAAAGCAAGAAGTCTATAGAGACGGGACATTACTCGCATCCCCTTCGCCCTCTTCAAGGTGCAAAATGAGGTCCAAGTCCCTACCAGAAGAGGAAAGGAGGCCTTCTCCATCCCTCACCTACAGCTCTCCCAGTAGCCCAAACCCCCCCTCAGAGGATAGGGGAAGAATTATACCTGAGAGGTCGGTGGGCTGGGCAAGGTTCATCCAACTGAAAAGCAGCCCCACACACAGGCCTGTCAGCAGAGGTCCGGGATTCCTTCTCTGGAGGCCCATGAGAAGTCACCTCCACCTCAGTCGTAGGTAGTCCTAGGAATCCAGTATGTGTCCTAAGCCATGGTTACAGGCAATAAGGAACCAGAAATTAAAGTCCCAAGACTCACAGGGGTGGAAGCTCCATTACAGGCTTCTAGGGAGATGAGACTGACTGGATTCCTGTCATCTTGCTGGGAAATGGGAGGCCCTTGGCTCCAAACTGCCTACGATTTCCTAAGCAGAAGGGAGGGAAAGCTCAGAGAACAGGGAATGCCAGGCGAGAGTGAGGCTGAGCCAGTGTCCTGAAAAAGTTAACATGTAAAGCCAAATATGTTTCTGTCTACCCAATCTCCAACTTGTAGGCTGCTATGGACACCTCGGGAATTCTGACCATTTCTTTTAGGCCCCAGAGACCTCCCTTCAGCCTACCGAGCGTCCCTCCATGGCAACCACCGAGCTGATCCCAGCGTCCTGCCATTAACCTTCCCCCTGAGCCTTACCTCCCCAGCTACCAGCCCCGACACAGAAAGCTACCTGCCTGGTGGGAATACACTTAGCAGCTGACAACCTCCATTCCTCGTAGCCCTTTGGGGGAGATTCCAAGGTCTTGCTTACCCCTCGTACTTCGGAGCTGCCAACACTAAGTGAAGACCCCAAGCTCCCTGGCCGGTACCGAGTGGAGGGTTATTCCAGCGGCTACGCAAGGTAGACAACACTGTGCTCCTGCAACGGAGCGGGGACAGGACTCATCACTTCAGGGGCCCACAGCAGACATCTGGGGACTGGGGCAGCCTCCCTTGTGGTACAATAGTGCCAACGGTTCCTGTGGAAACGGCGCTGCCTCCCAGGAGCCCACAACTGAAGCAATTAGGCAGGATTCGGTTCTCCAGGAGGCCAAGCCTTGCCATGTTTGGGCCCAAATGTCAGGCTCAGGTGCCCATGGTAACAGGACTGACCCTGTGGGGAGAACTCTGTTTGGAGCACTTTGAAGATGTTCTGGGAGTTGACAGGTTGTAGACGGCCCCTTTTTCCTGGAAGAAGCCGTCTCTGACTCCCACACTACATGAAGCGGGCTTTCTCCACAGTCCGTTGACCACCTCTGCCTTCCAGCTCCATACTCAGCAGTCCTTGAAGCCATCGCTTTTGTTCTTGTTTGTCAGCCTGTTCTGCACACTGTTAGCTCTGAGGGCCAGGACGCTGTATTCTTGAGCCTCGAGCAGAGTACGCTGCACCAGCTGCTGTGATTGCTGAAGGCTGTTTTCCGTGCCGAGGATCTCCGCTTCTACGGGACCTCCACTGAGACCGGGAAAAGCGCTTGCTGCGCAAGATTAAGGTCTTGCTTTCAGATTACCGCAACAGCCAGGTTAAAGGCTGGGGGTGGCCGCCTGCGCCTGATGCGTTGGTGAGGCGGAGAGGGGAGAATCCGTGAAACTCGTTGGGTAGCAAGTCTTGCTAAATTCCTGGACCACAGGTTCAAGGAGAGACCTTGAACCAAAGCTAAGGCGGAGACCTATAGTCTCTACATGCCCTTCGCAAGCGCACACACGCACAGCGAGCGAGCTGGGAGGTGGGGAAGGAAGAGAACGGAGGAATTACAGCTGGTTAGAACGAGCTCCGGTCTCCGAGCCTCCGCTTCGCCAGGGGGCGCTGCAGATCCGTTCGGACTCCGGGGCGTCGGTCTCCCGAGCCGCCCACCCCCGAGCGATGGGCTCGGAGGCAGCCCAGCTGCTGGAGGCCGCTCACTTCGCGGCGCACAAACACCGACAGCAGCGGCGGAAAGATCCCGAAGAGACCCCCTACATCAATCACCCCATCGGTGGGCGCGCCGGTTGGGAGGCAGTCCTCGCGGCGCGTGGCGGGTGGGGACCCACTCGGGGAAGAAAAACACGGGGCGTATAAGTTCTCGGGCGCCTACTTTTGAGTCCCAAGCTTTGTATCAGCCGCTCTTCGCGCGTCATGCCCCTAAGCCTCACCTCAGTAGGCAGGATTGCCCCATAGAGTCCATCTCCCCAAAGAGGGAAGGGACTTTCCGAGGTCACCCAGCTGGGGAGGCGCTACCTCTGGCTCCCTCTAGTCTGACTTCTGCTTTGGCCCTGTTAGGTGTAGCCCGGATCCTAACCCATGAGGCGGGAATCACTGACATTGTGGTGTTACAGGTAATTTTACTCTTCACTGCCGGGAGGCTGGCGTGGGAATCAGGAGCACTGTTAAGCAGGGGGTGCCCTTTGGCTGGTGGGCTAGTGTCGCTACGCTGAATGGGAGCCTGTCCCCCAGGCCGCCCTGCTCCACGACACCGTAGAAGACACAGACACTACCCTGGATGAGGTGGAGCTGCACTTTGGAGCCCAGGTTCGGCGCTTGGTGGAGGAGGTAACAGATGACAAAACTCTGCCCAAGCTGGAAAGAAAGCGGCTACAGGTCGAGCAGGCACCCCACAGCAGCCCGGGGGCCAAACTGGTGAAACTGGCGGACAAACTGTACAATCTGAGGGATCTGAATCGCCGCACCCCTAAAGGTATGCTCCCCTTGGCTCTGAGGGAAGCGGGAGGGATGTCCCACTTCTGAAAACACAGGCTGGTCAATTTCCCAGAAATAAGCGGGGGTGGAGGGGTTCTTAATGCCTCAGGCTAAACCTCCTAGAACAATCTTCTCTCATGAGGTGGGGACAGAGTTGATGGGTCGCGGAGAAGTTGTAAGATCATTCCATCGCAACTCATCTTACGGCCTTGTACCAAAGCCCGCCGGGAAACAGGCAAAAGACGTTGCTAGCCTTGACATCACACGAGCAGGTTTGTTTGTGCCCACTCTTGCGCAGGATGGTCAGAGCACCGCGTCCAGGAATACTTCGAGTGGGCAGCACAGGTGGTGAAGGGGCTTCAAGGAACGAACCAGCCACTGGAAGAGGCGCTGAAGCAGCTGTTCCAGGAGCGAGGGCTGACCCTTTGATCGAGGGCTTGGTGCAGTCTTGTGGCATGGCTCCAGCAAGGCGCAGGCAAGATAGGATCTTTACTGCGGCGATTCAGAGCCTCCTCATCTCTCACATTCCTTCACCCAGCCCAGACATCACAGGCTAAACGCGCCTGCGTTTTCTTACTCAGCTGAGCCCCAATATGGAAATCGGATATATCCATCCATCCATGCACCCAGAGCCTTTCCCCAAGTCTTGAGTCTCTCTGCGATTTTTTATGGTGGGACCTCTGGCCCCTCAGGGACTTAAGATTGCATAAGCATTGGTGTGGCAAATAAAGCACTTAGGGCAAAGGCTGAAATTGCTGGTCCTCCTTCCCTGGTCTCCTGAGAAGAACCGACATGCTAGATACTCATTTCCAAGTGTGTCCCTGGCATCATCTCCTTTGAGTTGAGAGCATCAATCCTTGGAACGTGGTGGCGTCCTTATGACTGAGCTGGATTGTGTCGTTATGAAGGTCAGATGATGTAGTTGAGGAGTCTGGAACGTTCCCTTACAGCATTTGGGATGGCAGATGTACTGGGAGAGAATGCCACCACTTACTGGCAACTGAAGGACCGAAGACCTCGGTTCCCCAACACCAGCTGCAGCGGGTGCTCAGTTATTCACAGCTGATGCCTTGACCCTTAAGATTGCAGGCTTCCTGCGTTGCTAAGCGGCAAGAGCTTCCGGGGTACCGGGAAGTGGTCCTGACGTTGTCCCGCCCATAGGGTGGGTGGAGCCTGAGGAAGCAGAAAAAGCTCCCAGCTTTAAAAAAATTATTTTTAATGGTCCGTAAACTGCTGAAGATTTTTCTTTTTTTGGTTATATTTTTGTGTTTGTGTGTGCGCGCGGACGTTCCATAGTGTGGGTGTGGCAACCAGACAACTTGGGGGCAGTTGGGTTTCGCTCTTCACTATGTGGGTCGGGGCTTGATCAGGTTGGCGGGCTGGTGCCTTCACCCGCTGAGCTGTCTCGTCCTCGCCGGCCCCTTTATTTATTTACTTATTATTCATTTAACTTCTCTTTTGGAGGGTATAGGGTCTCACGCAGCCAATTGGCAATCCTCCTGCCTCTGCAGTAGTTCCATAAAGCACAACCGTTCCCCGGGCTACCCCTAAAGCTTCTTAAATCTCATCAGCCATAGAAAAATCTATGTGTGGCTGATGAGATTTGAGCTAATGTTGAGCTGCATTGACTTTCCCAGCAAAACATCTGCCTGGCCACACGCACACACCACACACACTACAAGACAGCCGTTCTTCGACCTCTCCTGGCTCATTATTCTTCGCGCCTCTTGGCCTCCCAAGGCTGGTCTTTCCTTCACTTTTGTCCTTGGCACTCTGTGCACCGGTCTTTGCAGGCTTCCCTAGTCGCGCTGCTTTCTGCTGACGTTCAGACATTCTCACCCCAGCCCCTACAGTATCTGTGACAGACAAGCCTGGGTGTTCACTTCTGGTTTTGTTGTTTCCTGGTTTCCTTGTGTAGCTTTGGCTGTCCTGGACTCAGTTTGTAGACCAGGCTGGTCTCGAACTCACGGAGATACTCTGCCTCTGCCTCCCAGTGAATTACAGGCGTGCACCACTGTGCCTGGCTCATTTTTGGTCTTTTGAGTGATGTTCAGAACAAAAAGGAATGAGGCAGAAGGAGGGCTGCAGGCGCATTTGGGTTTTCTGCTTTCTTTTCTTAGCACCTTTGGGAGGGACAAAATTCATCTCCAGGACACAGTGAGCTTCACTGCTTTGGACCATGCCTTCAAACTTCAACTTTTCCTTGGCAGACACAGTACCCTATCTTTTGAAACTTTTTTTTTTTTTTGAGAACTCAGAGAAGTTGACCAAAAAGTCAGGGTGTTCTCATGCTGCTCTACAGAGCAAATCTGCATGAAGAAGACGTATGAAGCCATTTTATCCCATGTCTTGTTGGGGCATCCTGGACCTGGGCTACCAGAATCACCTCTGCCTGAAGCAAGCTCTCTGGAGTCCAGCAGAGAGAGTCCACCTCCCTTCCCTGGGGTGAACTAATTTGCCTCCTTTCCTTCTTTTACAGTGGCCATCATTCCCCCACACTAGAGAAGCCTATAGCACCTAATCACCTCCCATCTCTTATTAGCGTTTCACTGAACTAGACGGACACACACATTCAAACTATAGCATGCAACACTTAATAAAGAAACCAGGTGTTTCCTCCTCCAAGGGACTTTTTCACTGGCTGCTGTCTCTAATCTTCCACTGTGTCACACCGTCCATGTTAAGAAGTCCTCATTACCAGCCTTACTTGGGCTTCCTGTGTGCAGGCTATCCTAATTAATCAGGATGGTCCAAAGCCAGGAGCAGAAATAGACCCGGCTGCTCCAGGTAACTGTCAGGATTGGAATTTTGCTTTCGCCCATGTTGGAAGATCCCATCATTTCTCACTGTGTGAGACTTGACCTTTATGTATGCTTTCATGAGGAAAGAAGGTTTTCAGAGACCTCTAGTTGAACTTCAAGCCTTACCCTGCACTACATAATTTTTTTCTTCTTCGTGTTTGTGGGGAAGAAGATAGTTTGGTTTGACAGCTAGTGGCTGTCTCATTGTTGCTCAAGATGGCTCTAAACTCCTAGGCTCAACAGACTCCTGCCTCTGCCTCCAGAGTAGCTGGAATGGAAGTGCCTAGCTTCACAAGGACCTTTTAACTAACCACCCCATCTGGGCCTGGATTCCCCCCGACAAATATACCCCACATCCCCTGCAATAGGATGGATCTCCTCACATTTGCCCACCTGTGTCTCCACCTAGCCTCTTCACGGAATTGGGTGTGTCTCAATGAGGAAGTCCTTCCCCTTCTGGTGAATGAGGCTGTGTTGTGTATCCTGGCTCCTCTATAGATTGTCAGCCTCACACGGACAAGGCCTGTATGCCAGAGCTCTATGGACAAGGGCTGATGCTTGCCTTTAAATAATATGCACTCACTGGGCTGACACTACAGCTATTTGAGCCAGGCACAGTGGAATGTACCTGTAATCCCAGCACTTGGGAGGCTGAGGCAGGATTCCTGCACACTGGAGGCTAGTTTGTGCTTCGTGTCTTAGAAAACAAATTCTTTGGCCATTACTCCCACATATGGCTCAAAGGCTGTACCAGGAGCTGCCTTTTCCTCCCGTGCTCCACAGCAAGCTTCTGTTTCCTGATCCAGTTACTTGTAGCCCTGCTCCGCACATCACTGCAGAACCCAGACTGAAGAAACAGCCCTGTTCAGCACAGGACGGAAAACCTGCAGTTTCCAGAAACAATTCTGTTGTCTGTAGTATTTGAACAATACTGCTCTAAGCAATAGTGAAATGTGTAAACACCAGCAGGACATGATGGTGCACATGTCTGGCTGTGAGCCCAGCATGGGGGCAGCAGAGGCAGGAAGATTACAAGTTCAAGGCCAACCTGGTTCTCTATGGCAAGTCTGGGTTAGCCTGGAATACACTGCAAGACCCCCGCCCCCCACACACAACTGATATTTGTCCGATCAGACAAATAACTGCACTGCACATCTAAGACCTCCAAGGAATAACCTTTATTTTGCTAATTTCCTAGGGGTTCAGAGTTTCCCCTATCATTTGATTACAAACCATATACTAGCAAATAACACTTGCTGTAACAGTCAGTGGCTCCCTGTTCTTTCTTAACGTGTTTTTGCTCATACTGTGGAGCTGGTCTACAGCCCGGACTCTATGCTACGAGCTTCCCACTCATCATCTTATTCCTTTCAGCAAAACATAAATAGGAATTCAGGTGGCCTGAGCCTGCCTGCATGGACTCTGGAGGACCTGCAAGAGCTCAGCCCGGGTCACTGCCGGATCTTTGGGCGGCTGCTGGGCAGACCCTATGGCCAGTTGCTGAGGGGTCAAAGCAAGCTTTGCTCCTGCAGTGACTATACTCACTGCAGACACTTTCCCGCCTGCACCGCTGGGCTTTAGCCTCTTTCCTATAGCATGCTTCCAAGATTCCACTCCCATTTTTCATCCCCGCCCCCATTATGACGTAGGGTTTCATGTGATGTCTGGAAAAGACCTTTCTGATCAGGTATAAAAATATATTTTCTTGCTGGGTGTGATGACACACACCTTTAGTAGCATTCAGAAGGCAGAGGAAGGTGGAGCCTCCGGGACTTCCGGCCAGCTTGGTCTACATGATGAGTTCCAGGACAGCAGAGCTACATGGTGAAACTCACATACATACAGTTCCTTGAATAATTCTTTTGCTTTTGCTTTTCTCCTCTAGCCCTAGTTTTTTGGAAACCGGGGTAGAGTTCTAACAGTTGGCTGGCTGTCGCAAAGCACTGGTGCCACCACCATACATCACCGCAGCCATTCAGAATTACTGTATAGCCTCATCCTGTGCTCTTCCAGATGAATTCCAAACAGTAGGCAACCTCATGGGAATTACATTGATTTTATGGGCTGATCTGGGGAGAACCAGTCTTTATAGGGCAATTCACAGAATGCCTTGCGGGGTCTTCAGTTGACAAAGGTTTCTTAGGTAGCTTATGGTTTAGAAACAGTGGCAATTCTCACTCATCTTTGTCTCCATCTGCTGTATGGACACTGCTAAATAATAGCATTCCTGGCTAGTTTCTGACTCACAGGAGAAGGCCTGTGTTCTTTAGGTTCACTCTTTAGGTGCCATTAGTTACTAGTGACAGAGACCTTTATCTAGACGATGGAGCTTCTTTCTAGTCTTGGCTTACTAAGTTTTCACAAGGGATGGAGTTTCACTTTTACCAACTCTCTTCTCATCATTTATAGACAAATTCTGTTAACTGAAGCTAAAAATGAAGTCTTACCGAAGCATGTGGCCTTCTGATTTTGTCTCCATCTCCCTAGTCCACACACCGGGAAGGTGATACTTCTGCAGATAGAACAATGGTGAACCTTCTCGGCCTGAGGTGGGACCCAGAATGGGGTGCTTTCCCACAACGCCCAAGCACAGGGGTCTTGGAAGATCCGTTTCCCTTCTAGGGAAACCAGCTCTGCCAGGAACCCTGTGATGGGAGCTTGTGGGGAGAGTGATGTGTGAGATAAAGCTGGCCAGGTGGGAGACACTCCCCACACCCTTGCTGCAAACCCACACTGAATGACCAGCTTAGAACCGCTGTGGGTGCACCAAGTGTCCTATTGCCTCTGGCCTTGACAGTCTCAACCCAGCTCCTCCTGCCACCTAGCAGGCCCAAGCCAGGGCATACAGGCCCAGTGGCACTTAGAGCAGAGCCGGAACAGAGGGCAGCAAAGCCTTTAGGCTCTTAGGAGAAATAGGGTTCCTTCCAGTCCACTGCTCCTGTGCCTCAGACCAGGACATGTGGGGTCTATGTCACACGAGATCCCCCTAGAGCTAGCTCAGACCTGCAGCCACCTGGCGCTGGGCTGTTCCCCTCAGCATTCTTGACCCCGTTTGTTCCCACTCTTCCTATAGCCCATTTTGGGAAAAGGATGGGAGCGGGAAAAGCCAGAGCTGGAGCCGGAGCCTGTGCCCAGCTGGGCACCTACTCACAATGCAAGGAAAGCACCTCCTCTCTCCTGTCTCACTGGCATCCGCCCACCACTGATGTGTGGCTTGTCCCAAATAGAGAGCAGCAATAGACAATGTAAGGGCAGGGCCCAGTCTGTCACAGTTGTGAGGCAGAACGGGGTGTGTATAGCTTGTCCAACCCAATCTTGGTGTTAGGAGGCAGTCTCTGTGGATGAACTTTCTCTTCAGGCCACGAGGAGCCCTACCCTAACCCAAGCGCAGGCGGAAGGTGCCAATCTCCATGGGCTCCAGAGAGATGTCAGTGCTGTTGGAAGGTGAGGCCAGAGGGTACAGCAAAGTCAAAGAGGTTGGCTGCAAGAATGTCACATCCAGGCCATGGAAGAGGCTCCCCAGGGCCAGCTGTGAAGAGAGAGGGGCAGGCTGAGCTTGGCACTGCCAACACTGGCTAAGTTCTTTCTTACATCAACTGCTACCTAATTGTGTTTTTTGTTTTTTGGATTTTGTTTTGAGACAGGGTTTCTCTGCATAACCTTGGCTGTCCTGGAACTCACTCCACAGACCAGGATGGTCTGGACTCAGAGATCTACCTGCCTCTGCCTCCAGAGCGCGGGGTGTGTGCCACCCTAACTAACGGTGTGTGCCACCACTGCCTGGCCCTTTTTGTTTTGTTTGTTTGTTTGTTTGTTTGTTTGTTTGAGACAGGGTCTCACACTGCAGTCCAGGCTGGCCTCAAGCTCACAACAATCCTGCCTCCGTCTCCTGAGTGTAGGATTCTATTGTGAGCCACCACACCTGGCTTTCTGTCAGATTCTTAGACATGAGAAAAAAAGCGAAGATGGTGAAACACCACTCCAACTCTTGGGAGGTAGAGGCAGGTAGCTCACAGTCCAGCTCAGCTTTGGCTACATAATAAGGCTACTACGAGACTTTGTCTCAAAACTAAAAATAAGACAAATACTAAAAAAGGGCAGAGAAATGAGCTGATGGAAGCTACAGTCCTCTCAAGAGCAACAGGCCTCAGACAGGGCTCTGCTGCAATCTACTCAAGACCACAGCTTTTCCGGGCCCCTCGGTGTAGGAACTGTTCCACCAAGCTGTGCTGAGGACAAGGACTCCATCTGGCTTCACCTCTGAGTCACCAGGGCAAGCACAATGCCAGTGGCATGACACCATGAGCAACGCTTTGAAAGGTGCAGCAGGCTTTCATTTCTCATGTTTCCCCTTTGCTCAGCACAGGGCCCTCCTGGGGAAACCTGAGTTTTCTAGGTCCTTGCGCCCTGTCTGAAACTGCTCCTACCCACCTCATTGCTACAGGCACACCTCAACAGCCTCCCCTTTGTCCCCGCAGGGCCCTGAGGCTGTACCTTCTCCTCTCGTCCCACTGCCAACCCCCCAGTCCAGCCTCCCTGTAAGCTCTCAACCCTGCTTTGCCCTCCTGACAGCTGGCCCTGCCTCACAAACCTGAGCCCTGCTCACCTTGCCTTGGCTTGTGGTACAGTTGAAGCCCAGGTTCTTGGCCTCAAGGCCACAGTCAAAACCCTTGCGGTGTAAGATGAGAGCAGCATCAGCTGAGGGCAAGGTGTCCTCCTGGAAGATAGTAGGGGCAAGGGAGGGTCAACAGCACCTCTGCCACCACGGGGAGGCTGGACAGGGGAGAAGCGGGAGGAGGCCCAGAGCCTGGTGGGAGGGCAGCGCTCACTGGGACACTGACCTCGGCTGGGATCGTGCGCAGATTGAGCAGGTGGAAGTCACAGGGCAGTGGAGAAGCCAGAGGGTGGAAAGAGCGCAGGGCAGGGCTGGTGACCTGCCTCTTGGCCACGGGAAAGACGAGTGGAGGCGTGTTGAGGTACATGGAAGTCAGGTGGCTGAGCAGGGATGGGTAGCTGGTAGAGCGCTCTTGCTGGACCTGCAAGATGGACCCCAGTGTAAAGGAGGGAGCAGAGCCAGGCAAAGGATGGAGGGAGGCGGGCCAGCTCCAATCAGAACAGCTGTCCTGGTTCACTTGGGACTCTGGCTGCCTGGCTCCAGGCCCTGTACCTTCACAAGTGGCTACTTCTTATGGCACTCAGCTTAGAGAGGGTCCCGTTACTAGGGCCACCTCTATGTTTTCTTTTGTGGCTTCTTTTTTGTTTGTTTTTGTTTTTTTATAGTTTCTCTATGTGGCCTTGGCTGTCCTGGGCTCCCTTGGTAGACCAGACTGGCTTCAAATTCGCAGAGATCTGCCGGCCTCTGCCTCCTGAGCACCGGAATTAAAGGGGTGTGCCACCACTGCCCTGCTCTTTTGTGGCTTCTTTTAACATCATCATGAAGAATGTACTCTCATCAGTGCCGTCACCCCACACAGAGAGGAGCAGGAATGGACGACAGAGAGACAGACAGACATGCTTCACTGTGGACGGGCTCCCACGGTGGACGCCACATTCAGTGTCAGCCTGATGCTCAGGTCCACGAGCCCAGGCTGGGAAGACCACTCCTCCGGCGGATCTCAGGGTGCTGCATTCAGAGGGTTCCAGGGACCTTCTCCATGGATGAGTGTGCTCATCTGTGCCTGGCACCACCCCAGTACCCTACCTACAGTCTCCCTTGGCCCTTCAGGCCCAGGCAGGGCCTATTCCTCTTCCATTTTGCTTCTGCAATGTCTCCACCTCAAGTCACTTCCCGTTTCAGCTTCTGAAACTGTCACTCCTTCTTTGTCTCCCCACAGAAGCACTCTGCTTCTCGTGGTCCTGACAGCTGAGGTCAAATTCTGACAGTATCCCTTCCTTCTTAGGTCTCTCCGTGCCTCCAGACCCTGACCGGGCACTCAGATCTCTGCCATCTGCCCTGCCCACCATGCTCAGCCCAGCTTGGCTCATGGAGTTTTCGGAAATAACGGAAACACCGTCTGTCATGCCTTCTGTGATAGCTACTGACCACCTGGAACTACTGGGGGCTTAAATGTAATTTAAAAAAAACCAATTTGTACTACTATTTTGTGTGTATGGGAGTTTTATCTGCACAGATGTGTGTGTACTTCATGTATACAGAGCTCTTGGAGGCCAAAAGAAGGCACTGGATCCCATGAACTGGAGTTACAGATGGCCCTGAGCTGCCCTGTGGGTGTTGCAGGTCAAACCTGGGTCCTCTGGAAAAGCAGCCAGTGCTCTGAATCACTGAGCCATCTTTCCATCTTTCCAGCCCCCTCTAATTTCTTTTTTTGGGGGGGGGACAGGGTTCTCACTATGGCTGCCCTGGAACTCTCCATGAAGAGCAGGGTTCAGCCTCATAGAGACCCACCACCTCTGTCTCCTGAACACCAGAGTTAAAGACATGGCCGCACACACAGCCCACGGAGTGTGGCAAGTGTAAGTGGAAACCTGAACGGACTCTACCTTAATTCATTTGAGTAGCAATTAAAAAAATCTAGCATGGTGGTACAGACCTCTAATTATAACCCTTAGGAAATAGAGGCAGGAGGATGACGGCTAGCCTGGGCCACATGAGACCTTATCTCAAAAAAAAAAAAAAAAAAAAAAAAAGTAAATAGCCATATGTAGCTGGGCATGGTGGCATATGCCTGTGGTCTTAGCTACTTGAGAGGCTGAGAGTAGAGGCTCACTCAAATTCAGGAGTTCAAGGCTAGCCTAAACAACAGTGAGCCCAAAATCAAGGTTAACCAAGGAAGGATAACTCTGAGGATATCCTCACTACATTTACAGGGCAGCCCAAGATGCATCAGGTGTGTCTCAAACACACACACATGCACGCACGCACGCACAGGCAAAGCCAAAAAGCAAAACTGGACTGGAGATTTAGCTTAGTGGTAGAGCACTTGCCTAATGCGTCAAAGCCCCGGGTTCAATCCCAAGCTCTAAAGTCACGAATGGCCAGCATGTGATTAGTGGCTGCCATGCTAGCCAGCGCCTCTCGTATGCAGCTACAGCGAGTCCTTTTCCACACTGCCCTTCCTGCCTTTTACTCTGAGCATGTTCCCACTCATTAAAGCTGAGCCTGGCGACTGCTGGCTCAGGAAGCCACCTTTCACCTCTTCAGCCATGCTGCCTTGGCTCCACAGGCAGAGAAACCCCATGGCTACCTTGTACTCTTACACTAGAGCCCCGGGGTGGGAGCACACTTGCCCACAGCATAGCAGGGACTCAGCAGCTAGAGAAGGATAAGAGATCAAGCCACACCTTCGGGGTGCCAGGCCGCCAACTCCAAATACAGTGCCGGCCTGCTCGCTTTAGGTCCCCAAGGCCCTCGCTGACCCTTACCTTTAGGCTCCTGATCCTGTTGCTGGAAAAGCTCAAGCCCCTAAACATGGTTGCCAGTTTGGAGAGTAAGCCAGGCTGGTGAGTCAAAGAAAGCTGAGATGAGCAGGGCTGTGTCATGGTTAGGAAATGCTCAGGCTGAGGAAGGGAAAATGAGGGCAGCAAAGCGAAAGGCAGAAGATGAACATGACAGGGGCAAGGTGACAGGGGGTGGTTAGGGAAGGGACTGCCACACTGCATGAAATGGGTTAGCAAAATGACAGAGCCTCCTGCCTCAGTGCAGGAATTAAGCTGTGCTTGCCCTCCTCCGGCTACATCTGGGAACCCCCTGGGGCACCCTCAGGGCTGAGCCTACACTAGTTCACTAGACAACGGGCCCAGATCTTACCTCTTGGCTCATGGTTCGCCGCTCTAACAGGAGGCGGAAGCGGTTGCAGGTGATCTTGTTGTCTTTGAGCCCTTGACCTAGACCCCGGTTGTCATCCTGCATTAGCCTTCGGTCCAAGATCACCTCCAGCTGGCCTGAGGAAGGCAGGTGAGCGCTAGCTTGCCAGACCCATGTCTGAGCGGACATGAGAACAGACTCTCCACCTCAGTCCACAGGGAAAGAGCCAGTGAGACAGACAAGCTGAGCCACTCTGAAGAGAGAATGATGGACTCCTATACTGGGAGAGAGGAGTGTGGGTGTCTCACCTTCTCTAAGTGAAGAAGCAGGAGGCCTAGAAAGGGGAGCACTGACCACAGTAGGGAGCACTGACCACGCAGTTCACCTCTGTGACTCAGGAGTAGCATTTGGGCCCCAGGCTCAGCAGCAAACCTCTTGGGGACTGGCCACACAAAACACAGCCACCAGTGGCTGGAAAACAGAGAAGGGCCAGCCTGGAACACTGCTGTCGAGTCCCTCATCTGAGGCAGGCTTTCTCAGGCTAGGCAGATTCGTGACTGACACATGCTCTCTTAGCCTTTCCTCTACCTGGCAACAGCTAGAAGGCCCAGCAGTGTAGACTAGAGTGGCTGGTCTTGCCTGTCAGAGGCAGGCTATGGTGAGGACAGGAATGTGAGGTAGAGGCTCAGCAAGGCCTCCAGTCTGCCTCAGGTAAAACACAGAATACTACCTCTGTTTCCCATGTGGAAAATGCTTGGGAGAAGGGTCTTCCTGCAAAACTCATGGATGTGAAGAAGGCTCTCACCACAGCAGCTCACAAGGCTTTTCCCACAGAGGGCCAATTCTCCTTTTCATCGCCTCAGTCCTTACTCTGATTTCTCTAGTTTCTCTGGGTTTACACTCTGAGCAAACACAGGAAGCTATCTCCAACCCTAAAATAGGTTCCTTGCATAAAAGATAATCAATTCCTTAATACACCATGTCCCAGAGGGGCAGCCAGCTGACTGAGCAAGGACAATGGGCTGCATTCAGGAGTTTTGAGGCAGGCCGATCCCAAATAATCCTGGCAGAGGGTAGAAGAGCCACACTCCTCCCATAGAGGAAGCAGGCACAACACCCACCACTGTGGCATAGCCTTAATCCTGCACTCAGTTCAGCCCTCACAAGCTCTAGATCCCACAGAAAGACCTCCAGGCCAGAGGTAAGTTACTGCTTCCTCTGTCCCCTGGCTATGAAAAACCACTGGAAAGCCGTCAACTTGTCCCTTCTCTCTCCAGTTCTGAGGGTGGAACTTCACATCTGCCCATGCCACAGAAGTGCTCCTCCACAGAGCGAAGTCTCAAGTCCCCTTCTTCCTACTTTCTGTCTTGAGACAAAAATCTCACTAAATTTCCCAGACTGGCCTGGAGTCTAGGACCTTTCTTCCTCAGCCTGCAAGAAGCTGAAGTTGCATGTCTGTGCTACTAGGCCTAGAGATCTTTCTAAGCATGCCATCCTTTCTTTTACTCACGATTAGGAGGGACATATGTACCTTTCTCCTTTCCGAAATATCACCACCTAAGGGCTGCCCCCTGCCGGGCTGTGGTAGCACACACCTTTAACCCCAACACTTGAGAGGCAGAAGTAGGAAGATCTCTGAGTTCGAGGCTAGTCTGGTCTACAGAGTGAGTTTTAGGACAGACAGGGCTACACAGAGAGACCACATCTCAAAAACCATAAAACTAAACCAAACAAAAACAAAAAAAACAAAAAAAAAAAAAAAAAAAAAAAAAAGAAGAAGAAGAAGAAAGAAGAGAAGGGAAAAAAGCTGCACCCCCTCAGCTGAAAGTCACCCTTCAACACCCAGCAGCTTCCACTAAGACAGGGAGCCCTGGTGTGGCTGACAGGAGCTGCAGATGGCTCACCCCTTTTCAAGCTCAAGGGTGACAGGCTCTGGAAAGAGGGGAGGGCAACAAAGTGGACTGACTGGAGCAAAGGGAAGGCTGGTCGCCTACTTACCATCACCAAGGCTGGAGACACCAAGGGCCTGTGCAGTGTGCAGCGTGAGGCGCCTCTGTGCATCTTGGATGTAGGCCATGACTGGCATGGGGTAGAAATTAGCCTGCAGGGGCAACTTCTTTAGATACTGCCGGGGCTGAACCTGCAGGGAGGAGTTCAAGGCCAGGCTGGAAAGTTGTCTGACTTGTGTTCTGAAGGGTTCTTAGTGTGAAAGCATTCCTGGATATTTTTGTTTTCTGTTTTTGTTTGTTTGTTTGTTTGTTTTTGGTTTTGCTTGTTTGTTTTTTTCTAAGACAGGATTTCTCTGTGTAGCCTCGGCTGTCCTTAGACCAGGCTGGCCTCAAACTCAGAGATCTGCCTCCTGAGTGCTGGGACTAAAGTGCCACCACCACCTGCTATTTTTAATTGTGTGGATGTGTCTACTGTGTGTGTGTGTGGGGGGGGGGGTGTATGCCAGGACACACATGTGTGTGTCACAGGACAACTCCACGGAATGGGTTCTCGTCTTCCACCTTTATGAGGATTCCAGGAATCGAACTCAGGCTGCCAGGCTTAAGCAAGACCCTTTACCCGTTGGCCCTATACTTGCCTCCAGCCCTTGGCATCCTCCCCAGAGGCCAAAAAGCAGTACCAGTTCTGTCCCATGGGGCCCAAGAGTCACCTGAAAGCCATTGAGGTCTGTGAAGAAAGTGCCCTTGTTGTCGATGTCTGTGTGGATGCGCAGGGCCAGCTCTTTGTTCACATAGTCCCTGATGTCCACCAGGAGTGATATGTCCAGAGACAGCCCGTCCACCCCTGGGCACAGGGACAGCAGAGGTGAGCTGAGTACAGCCCGAGAGACAGGTCCAGGGAAGGCCCCACCCACCCTCCTCCTGGGAGTTCCCAGGGCACTCTTGGATGGCTTTTTCCTCAAGAGAACCAAGCATCTCCTCGTCAAGTGACACAGCCGCTTGTCAACAATGGGTGGAAAAGGACAGGAGGCAGCTTCCACCTTGGGACCTTCCCCGCCCGCAGGGCTCACCTGGCAGGTTATACAGCCGAACCACTTGGTGAAAGTGCTCATAATATGCAGCCACCTCTGAGAAGAAAGGGCCTTCGGTGACACGCAGCACAGGAGGTTTCTTGGGGACGTAGGGCTGGAAAAAGAAAGCAGCTACTGAACCCACAGCATGAGTCCAAAGCAGCAGTACCAACCCAGTGTGGGGCAATGGAAATCCTGGTCCCAGGGCTCAGGCTGAGCAGGCCCAAAGCTATGGTTAAGACCGCACCCCACCTACCTCCACAAGGCAGTGAAGACAGGACAGTAGGGCAAGACGGCAGATAGTGACCACTGAAGGGATGCCAGCCCCCTCCCAGGCTCTCCCCATCCACCAGAGCCACCCAGGTTCTGTGAGGCACCTCAGGTACCTTAGCCTCGCTATCAGGCAGGAAGAGGTAGGCACCACTCTTGTCTTTGGATGTGCGGGTGCCATAGATGAGAAACCTCATGTCCACCTGCTGTTCCTGCTCCTCATCCACCCTTCGGATGCTCTGCCAAGAAACACAGCCCTGACCCCTGGCCCCACACCAGCATGTCAGGTCTCCCCCTGGGAGGGCATAGAGCCAAGCCCACTGCCACCGTTGAGATCTCAGATGCCCCCATAAGGCTTGTCCCCACCTGCTGCTACTAAGAGAGGGGGGAAAGGTGGGACTCTGCCCCTTCCCTCCTTCTTCCCTTCCATGTTTTCTTTGTTGTTAAGTTTTGTTTGTTTGTTTGTTTTGTTTTCAAGACAGGCTTTCTCTGTGTATCCCTGATTTTGTCCTGGAACTCGCTCTGTAGACCAGGCTGGCCTCGAACTCACAGAGATCCACCTGCCTCTGCTTTTGCCTCCCGAGTGCTGAGGTTAAAGGCGTGCATGCACCGCCACGGCCGCTCTCACCTTTGCCGCCGCCACCACCATCCAGCTAAGGCTGACCTTAACTTCTGATCCTCCTGCCTCCACCTCCCCATGCTGGGTTACAAGCATGTGCCACCACCACACCTGGTTTTATGCAGTGTCGAACAAGCCTAGAATTCCTGTAGCTCTGTTGGTAGAGTGCTTATTCACCATGCATCTCCAGCCCCCTTTTTATACTTTTCTTTTTCTTTTTTTTTTTTTTTTTTTTTTTGGCAACACTTTCACTGTGTAGTTCTGGCTGTCCTGGAACTCACCATGTAAACCAGTCTGGCCTCAAATTTACAGAGATCCACCTGTCTTGGCCTCTCACATGCAGAGATTAAAGGTGTATGTGAACAAATTCAACTTCTTTCTTTTTTGAGACAAGGGTCTCATGTTGGCCTCAAACTTGCTATGTAGCCAAAGATGACCTTGACATTCTGAGCCTACCCCCTCCACTGCTGAAATCACAGGTGTCCAGCACAGCAGTCAAGCTCTCTCTTGCATCCTGGATGGGAAATGATTTACTCAGCTGAGATGTGGCCCCTGTCATGGCATGCTGCCTAACCATAGGTCCAAAAGCAAACCATAGGTCCAAAACTATGGGTCGGCCTAACTGCAGGCTCAAAACTCGGAACCGTAAGCCTAAATAAACCTCTCTTTACGAGTCGCTGATACAGCAGCGGGCGATTGATATGTTAGCTTAGCAGCTGCTAATGCTCACACCCAAGTCCCTGTGAGTCAGGTGACAGGAGGCATGTGGGAGCAGGAAGCCCCCTGGTGCCCATTCCTTCCTCTGGTCCCTCCCCAGCTCCCCTGGCCCGGCCCTTTACCTTGAGAAGCCCAGTAAGGCCGGAGAACCAGACCTGCATGTAGCGATTGCTGATGGCGAAGTCACCGGCGCTGGAGTCCATGACACGGAGAGGGAAGGCTGTCTGTCTGCTGCTGGAGAGCTTCGCGCCGTTTGGATAGATGCGTACGGAAGACGGCAGCGTGTAGGGCCCATCAAGATCTGGCTGCAGCTGCAGCACGCCCAGGCCCAGGGCTGCCAGGCGGACAGGCACCGACACCTGTGGACACAGGGACAGGAAAAAGCATAGGGCCAGACAGGCCTTCTCCCGTCACCCCTGACCTCTGTATTTTGTTTCCTGAGGCTAAGCCTAGAACCCTGCGTTTCCATCTGGAAAGGGGCACAGCACTCGGCTGAGAGCCTAGAGTCTGAAGCAGGCTTCACAGACACTATCTAAGCAACTTTAGGCAAATCAAGTTTACTGTGACGGAGCCTCTCTGAGCTTTGGTCTCTGGTGAAGTGAGGATAACACCAGTATGTACACTCAGAAGAGCCTAAATGAAATCCAGGAGTGATTGATGGCACATCTTTGCATCCAGGATGCTTAAGCAGAGGATCGCAAGTTTGCAGCCAACCTCAACTACAGAGTGTTGAGGCCTTTGTCTTAATTTTTTTTTTTTTCTTTTGTTGGTTTTTTAAAACAGGGTTTCTCTGTGTAGCTCTGGCTGTCCTGGAACTCACTCTGCAGACCAGTCTGGCCTCTGATTTATGGAGATTCACCTGCCTCTGCCTCCCGAGTGCCGGGATCAAAGGGGTATACCACCACCGCCTAGCTTTAAACTTTTCTTAATGAATTGAATATTTAACACTTAGAGTAGAGCCTAACATGAACTATAACTGAACATTTGTTTTTCATCCATAGTACAGATGAAATAAATACATAGTAAGTCAACACAATCAGTCATTAGAAGCTTGAGTCCAGGAAATGGAGACCACGATGGGCAACATACAAAATGCCATCACAATGAAGGAAACAATAAACACTTGTTGAATGAGTGGCTGAGGGCCCTGCTGCTGCCATCTTTACTCTAAGTGTTACCAGCGTCCTCACCATCTTGTTAAGGACATTCAAATCACAGTGGTGACTGTCCTCTGGGCAACACCTCTCCCCTGGCCACCTGCCCCCATCCTTGGGAGTAAAGCAGAGCACGGCAGAGAAGTGGGAAGCAGGTGTTCACTGGGAGTGAAGACCTAGGAGAGGTACTGACAAGCGAGGAGGGCCGAGCCCCGCCTCACCTGGTAGACATCAGGGACTAGCGTAGTGGCCGAGCTCCAGTGCACACTGATCTGCACAGACAGGGGCTGACCCTCCTCGGAAAGGACTCGCACCCGCGGCGAGTTGACCAGCAGGGACACCATGCTGAGCCGCTCCTGTTCCAGCATGTTAAACAGCACCACAAGCCTGTGGGTGGGAGGTAGGCTGAGCCAGGGGATTGCTTTGGCGGCATGGCAGAAGCAGCAGCCAGAACAAGGGTCCCCTGAACTGAGGGTCGTGTTGGGATGGAAGGGGCTCACCTGGGTGAGGAGTCCAGGTGGATCACCGTGCGCTCTGGCAGGGCGTCGTGACTTGAACGACTGTCATCCTACAACAACGCGGGCAGGAAGGAAGAACGACAGACAACTAGGCTCAACCTCCTCCCTACCCCAACCTGTGCAGGACAGGGACCACAAACTACCTTGAGCGTGGAACTTGCACCCCAAAACAAGAAAGGGAAAAAAGGAAGAGCACCCACCCACAACAGAGGCTCCCTCAAGCAGCTGCGGGAGGAGGGGACCCACCATTTGGAGGAAGGGTGTCCCAGGGTCAAAGTCATAAGTCTCCTTGTCCCCCAGCACCAGATAGTGAGCAGCGTTGATGATGACCTGCTTTAAGCTGACCAGAGAACGCAGCAGCCTGTGGTGGGCAGGAGACAAAGCTTAGAGAAGATGGGTACAGGGAGGCTGTCTGCCACGCCACAGGACCAGCCCTCGGCAGCCAACCCCCCCCACGCACACACACAATCACCCTCATATCCTCTCTTTGAAATGGTGGGGGAAGCGGGGGTGACTCCTACCTGACACCATAGTCTATCACGACCGCCTCCTTGGCAGTCCCTGTGATGGCATCATGGTGCTGGAAGAGCCCCAGTGTGCGCCGGGCTTCCGTCAGAAGAGCAAAATCAGACAGCGGGTACTGGCCAGCCAGTCCAGAGCGGCGGGCGTGAGCCACAGCCAAGCTGTACAGGACCTCTGCCCCACTACCCAGAGAGAGAAGTCAGGGCCTTCCTGGTCTGTTCAACCTTGCCACCCACACACCGAGGGCCCTCTCTCGATACCCGGCCCCTCCTGCGCCTCAAAGGTTAACTCTTAACTCAGCAGGGGGAGGTGGGCAGGTCTCACCGCAGATGGCCTTCTAGGACTCGGTCCAAGCTCTTGTAGAAAGGTCGGGAAGTGTAATAGCCTGTCCAGTAGTGGTCCTCCCGGTCAGCATAGGAGAAGAAATCCCCACTCAGCACAGGAAACCCTGGAGGCCGGGCCCCAGGCTCCACTCCTGTCCTCTTATACAGGGCATCAAAATACTCAGAGAGGGTCCCGAACTGGGCCTGTAGGGACCCAAACCAAGCTACCATCAATTACAGAGCCTCCTGGGATATCTGGCCACAGTATCCGCCCCACAATGCTGTAAGTGTGGACAGAGGTGACATCTTTGTCTAGCAGAAGGCAGTAAATCTATGTGTCCTACTCTCCTAGGCCGAGCGAGAGCTGGGGATCTTGGGAATGAGTTCTGACACACTCAGGAACCTTGCCCAAGACTGGGAATGACATGCACCCTCAGTGGCAGGGCTCTTATAGAAAGGGCCAGGCTGTGGTGCTGCAGGCTGTAGGTCTGTCTGGCGCATGCTCCCACCTGCACGTGGAACTCAGGCCTGCTGTTGAGGAAGTCAAAGAGTCGCTGGTAGTTGAAGAACTGGGCATCCCACTCCTGGGGCTTGTCATAGCGGAAGTCATCACCCAATGGCACAAGGAGGACATTGCTTCGGAACAGCCGAGACTTCTTCCTATACTGGTCCAGGAGCAGGGCTGCCCTGGAATCACGAATGGTCACAGGCCCAACATGAAGTCCCAGACTTAAAATCCCAGTAAAGGCCCCCAAAGTGCGAGGACTGGAGTTTAGACACGCCCCTCCAACATGTAAATGCCAGTGGGCATGGTGGCTGGACTGTCATCTCAGAGCCCAGAAGGTGGAGATGAGATCCCCAGAGCAGGCTGGAAGTGAGCTCTGGGTTCAACTAAAAAACTTTTTCAATGAATAAGGTAGAGAGAGACCAAGGAAGTTTTCTGATGTCAACCTTGGGTCTCCATATGCACTCACAGACCTGCATTCACAAACCTGGACCCTTACACATGCAAACTCTGCCTGGTGGCACTTTTTTAACTCCAGCACTCAGGAGGCAGAGACAGACAGATCTCTGTGAGCTTGAGGCCGGCCTGATCTATATAGCGATTTCCAGCCAGCCAGGGCAACATAATTCTTTCTCAACAAAGAAGAAAAAAAAATCCCATGAAAAGCCAGGCATAGTAGCACATACTTATAATCCCAGTACTTAGGAAGCCGAGCCAAGAAGACTCCAAGTTTAAGGCCAGCCAGGTCTACACAGAAGAGGCCTTCTGGGTTTAGCAGCACATGCCTATAATCCCAGCTCTTTTGTAATGATCAATAAGTAGTTCAAGCCTATCCTCACCTTTACAGCAAGTTCAAGGACAGCTTCGGCTATGAGACTCTGTCTAAAGCTACCCCCCCCCACACACACACACAGAATGGTGCCTAGCTTGAACTGTATGGAAAAAAAAAATTAATCCATATTATCTACCCAATAGAGCCTTAAAGCATGCCAGTACAAGCTTTTTCCTTCCAGGTACAGTGTCATGGGCCTGTAATCCCAAAACTTGGGAAACTGTGACAGGAGGATTATTGCAAGTTTGAAGTCCGCCTGAGCTACACAATGCATACCAGACAAGCCAGAGATACACGACAAGACTTTGTCTCCAAAAACTAGAGAGAAAAAAAGAAAAGCAGGCTTTTCATTGCTTGCTTGGACTGCAAGCATGAACCACAGCTGCTGCTACATGTTACATTCTCAACATTTAGACCACCTTAAACCAACACTTTTGTAGGGGTCTAATTCTAGCCATAGTGACATCTTTGAGGTCCCTTACTATTCTCTTCAAAGGGACAGGTCTTTTTGTCTCAGTGGCTGGAGGCTGTCGGGCAGCACAGGGTAGATTTAAACAGATTTGGCACGTTGCCTGACCTGGAGCTGACCCAGAGAATCTGAGTTAAATGAAGGATAGCAGCTGGGAGTCTGCAAGAAATGGCACCAACAGTGAGAGCTGTTTAGGGAAGGTACCCAAGAGCACACACCTTTAGTCTCAGCACTGGGGAGTCTGAGGCAGTCAGATCTCTGTGAGTTTGAGGCCAACCTGGTCTACATAGAGAGTTACAGGACAGCCAGAGCTACATAGTGAAACTCTGTCTTGGAAAAAGAAAAAAGAATTGTTTAGGGCTGGAGATGTAGCTCAGTTGGTAGAGTGCTTGCCCAGCATTCACAAACCCCTGGTTTGGGCATAAACCAGCTGTGGCGAGTCATGCTTGTGACCCCAGCACTCAGGACTAGAGGCATGTTTGAGGCTAGCCAGCCTGGAATAGGAGAGGCCCTGTCTCAAAAAGAAAAAAAAAAAAAAAATAGGGCGTGGGAAAGGCCTTCCAGTCTATTAGGACATCAAAAGGTATCCGACTGAGTAAAGTAAAAGCATTCTGGGAATTCCAGTTCCCAGGGGGGCGCTAGGGAGCCACCACTGCAGATACTCCACCTAAACTCACCACCAGAGTCTACTTTTTCCAAGTATGGTCAGCATCATGCGGCTCCATGTGACACAGCCAAGACCAGAAAGCCAGCTTTCAGTCTTTCGCTCCTCTGAGGAGCGAAATGTCAGCTCTGGTAGCAAAGACCTGTGACCCCATTCTCAGGAGACAGGGGCAGAAGGATGGAGTTTGAGCCTGCTGGGGCTACACAGCAAGACCATGGCTCAGAACCCAAACCCGGCACCTTGCCCAAGCAGGGCTGACAGCAGGTACCTCTCTGCCACGTTGGTCTCTGTAATAGCACGGGGTGGCACCTTCCAAGGGCAATTGATTCGCCCACCCGGCAGACGTTTGAAATCAAACTGGCAGCAGATCTTGGGATCCGGGCCACAGGTGTGCGGTACGTCATAGCTGTAGAAGGGCATCATGTGGCAAAAGATGTCCGTGCTGGAGTCTGGATCTACAGGAGACATACCATAGGGTCAGCCACTGGCAAGCAGCCTTAGGAGCTGGGCATGGGGACATCAGGAGGGTGGACATTCATGTCTTCCATAGGCAGCCCTGAAAGACACTGAGATTCTAGCTAGACTCAAGGGTATGTGTAGGCTGGGACTTGGAAGGGCTCCCAAAACCACAGATGTGCCCACAGAGGCCAGCAGAGGTCAATGTGACTTTCCTCTAACCAGAGAGGAATTGCTTCAGGCACTCTGCCCTCAGGGACCACAGGGATCTGATTTCTAATAAACGTTCTCCTCTGCACCCAAAGACTACACTGTTATAATACTCATGCCCAGGTCGGGTGTGGTAGTGACACTTTTAATGCCAGCACCCGGGAGGCAGAGGCAGTCAGATCTCTGTGAGTTCAAGGCTAGCCTAGTCTACGGAGTGAGTTCCCGGAGAGCCAAGGCTACACAGAAAAGGAAAAAAAAAAAAAAAAAAACCTGTCTCAAAAAACAAACAACAAAAATAATTCCCATGGCCTTACCCCACATCTGCCTCCACATGAACTCCAGGCTGTGAGTGGCAGCAAAGTGCTTCTTGATGGCATAATGCACCCTCTGAATCAGCATGCTGGTCAGGTTGGCACGGCGCAGCAGGTAAGGCATGGTGGAACTGTGTCCAAAGGGGTCCACTGCCCAGCCGGAGCGAGGGGTTGCACCTAAGCGCAGCACAGAGGTCAAAGGCCCTGAATACCTCTGGGACTGGCCTCTGGCCTCCTTGTGCCCGGGAGCTCAGCTCCTGCCGTGGCCACAGGATAGGCTGCATGAGCCTAGAAAGGAACAACTCCCTGCCAATCCCTGTACCTCACAGCATCTCGCCACGGCATTCAGGCCCAGCTCTGGGGCACAGTCTAGTCCCCATGCCTGGACTTACCCAGGTTTCTCTCCAGCCACTGGTGTCCCTCGATGAGCTGGTCAACCAAGGCAAAGTAATGGGAGTTGGCCTCATCTGGCATCACCCACCCGCCTGTTGCAATCTCCAGCTGCCCATTTCCCACCAGCCTAAGGATGAAGACACACCCAGGATGGGGCAGGGACCCTTTGCTTGGTCCTGGTAGCCAGAGGATGATGGGGACCACATGCATTGGCCTCCTCCAGCCAGCTCACCCATGTGATGTGGCTGAGAACCAAGAGACCACTTGCTCACCCTCCCTCCTCTCCAGCCCACCGCACACCGTCCAGGTCTGCTTATCTTAAGACCCTGTTCTGCGCCCAGAGGCGGAAGGTCTCATGCTTCTTCGCTTATGCTCAGAGCGTTCTCATTTCTCCTAACACTAACAGACCTTCAAATCCTCAGTCCTGGTCCCTGCTCCGGCGCTGTATGTATCTTCCTGCCAGCTTAGCACCCACAGAAAGAGACAACACCCACCCAGCCAGCTGGGGCTTAAATAATAATCCTCCCACGCCTTCCCAACCACCACTCACCTTCGAACTGCTGCCTTTTTTTGGGCACTGATGTTGTCCCACCACTTGGCAAAGAAGGACACTTCTGCCCAGAGGAAGCGCCGCCGGGGATCTTCCTGCAGCTTGGACGCCATGCTGTTGAGGATGTGTTGCGTTTGTTCCGTGTAGTACTTGTCAAAAGTCTTGATCCAGCCTGGGGGAGCCAACACAAGGTCCCCTGAATATGCCACATACTTCGGCTGCACCCCTCCTTATATGTCTGTCATCAGGAAGCCTGCCCCACGCTCTGGCGGGAGGGCCTGCTGGCACTTCACCTGGATCGTTGTGTGAGTGAGGTACCACAAACACCTGCAGGTCTTCCGCATCCCAGTCGTTTGGGCTGTAGGAGATGTCAAAGCCTTGCCTCCACACGCCGCCCTCGACATTGTCAAATGGCAAGTCCTTGGACACAGTTAACATCTGCTGGGAAGGGAGGAGGTGGCTCAGTGCCCACCCGAGTGGCACGAGGTCCCTGCCAGCCCCAACTCTTACCTGTAGTTCTGGCTTCTGATCCCGGCCCCCCAGAGCAAACTGGCAGTCCTGGGGGGAGACAGAGAAGAAGCTGGGCCGGGGCTCTGGGAGCACAGCCCAAGAGCCATTGGCTGTGTGGTAGGGCAGCAGGGCTGGCGGGCCCTCCACGTTGGCTGTCAGCTCCAGCACGGAGTCTTTGATATGGCTGATGATCTCATGGTTTTCCTCCAACAGCTGTTCCAGCTGCTCGATCCGGTTCTGTAGCACAGAAATTTGGCTCTGCCAAGAACAAGAGTGGAAAGTAATCACTCACAGTTCCCTGTCACAGGGAGAATTCCCGCCTAATCAGGAGCCTGACTCTCCTAACTATGATTCCCCTCTCCTTAGGCCAAGGCACACCATGGACCCACAGGAATGGAGCGCTCCGAGTGCCACCCCTGCGGGCTCCCAGCCACCTGGCTTGGAAGTAGCATCACCCTCAAGCTCACGGGACAGCAAACATTTCATCTCCTGCCTGTGCTCAATGACCTTTACTTCCTGACTCAAGCTTGGCTGAGGACTGCATTCAGCCTAATGGAAAAGAAATATCCAGTCAATTAGCAGCGTCTGCCAGGAACTCAAGTCAGAGCAGCAATGCATGAGGGCACCCTTTCTTCTCCTTCTCCCTCTCCTCTTTCCTTCCTCCCCCTCTTCCTCTCCCTCCTTCTCCTCCTCCTCTTCTGCCCTTGTTGCTTTTTACTTCCTATTCTTAGGGGCATAGCCCAGCGGTACTGCCTGCACAACAGCTCCTTGGGGCATCCACCAACGAGAGAAAGAAAATCTGCCCAGGAAGTGTTCTACAACTCAGCTGTGGATCATGAATGCTGCATGCATGAATGAGGCTCTAGGTCTAATCCCTAAGATGGGGGAAGAGGGTGTTCTTGTCCTGTGCTGACATGACTCTCAGGCTGAGGAGATAACCCAAGCCCAGGTGACCTGCAAGTGAAGAGGAGAACAAGGCGTGACTCACCCTGGGGAAGTTCCCACCGTTCTGGTGTCTGGCAGGATCATGCTGCACTCTGTCCAGCATAAGGTAAAGCGAGAAGACGGCTACGCAGAAGATAGCAGCCCCGCACACCGTCACCTGCTTTTTCAGCTTCATGCTGACCCCCACACGCACCTGGAAGGAGAGACACCATCTGTAGCCCCAACAGGCAAAATCCTTTTGCTGGCCTTCCTACTAAATGCCCTCTGAATTCCCAAGAAGCTTCTACTTGCCCGACTCCGGTAAAAAAGCAAGAGAGCTTCCAAGAACCAAATCTTGGTTGAGACTTCCAAGGCGCAAATAGCACATATATCCGGGGAAGATCCTGTAGGACGCAACTTCTGTCTCCCCTCAGCCCAAGCTACAAAAGCCAGGATATGGGGTGTGCGTGTGCAACAGCTCAGTAGGTAAAAGGCACTTGCAGCCAGGCCTGATAATCAAGTTAGTCCATTTGACTCACATGGCAGAAGGAGAAAACCAACTACCACAGGTTCCCCGCTGTGGTAAAAAAGGTCACACTTCAAGCAAACAAACAAACAGGGAAAACAGAGCCCCGGCTCTGACCCCAACTTCGTTACAAAACTACTGATGCAAACAGCTTGCTCAGGACCCTGCTACCCAGAGAATGCCTTCCCAGGCTCCCTAGCCTCGCGTTCCCTCCCTTCAGATGCATAAACACCAGGGCTTCTATTTTGTTTTATTTGGAGATACATTCACAGGCTGGAGAGACAGGCAACCCTCTGACCTCCTGGGTCAGACTGGAACTCAGCAGAAACAGTGCCTGGCTCAGATCCTGTCTCAGGAAGAATACACAATGGATTTCTCTTTCAAGAAGTAATGCAGTTCCAGGGCAGCCATGGCTACACAGAGAAACCCTGTCTCAAAAAAAAAAAAAAGAAGAAGAAGAAGAAATACTCACGTCTCCTTCACAACCCAGTTCTAGTACTCTCCCTGTCGGTTCCTGCAGTGCAAAACTTCCAGTCCTGGCTTCCACAGAGCTTTAAGGGACTCCTGAGAAGCCAGCGGCAAGCCTGAAAGTCCCCAGGGTAGCCGAGGCCGGGCACAGCTGCTTGGTAACGGGGCAACCGGAGAGGTGCCACAGTGTCCGCTACCACCGCCCGCGGGTCCCCACTTGCCTGCGGGAGGAGGGAGGACGCTAGCTGCCGAAGGTGCGTGGGAGGGACCGCGTTCTGGACTCTTGCTCTTCGGGCCCCGGTGCCGAAGAGCTCTGTCACCTCAGCCTCAGCCTGCGTCCTACTTAGCGCGACCTGATTCCGCTCAGGAGCCTCGGGGCAATATTTTTAGCCCCTGGAGATTGGGTCCCGGGCCAAGGAGGGCGGAGCTGGGGAGCAGGAGCTGGGTCACCGGTGGGGCAGTCACCTGCCGCGAGGTCCATCCGCCACCCCACCGACCCCCGCAGGCCCGCCCAGCCCCCTCCGGTCCCCGGAGCCCAGCCGGCACTCGGGGGCCCGCTACGCCCGCGGCCTGCTGGCCCGAGTCCTCGCCCACGCCCCGCCCGGCCCGTTACCGTCCGCGGCCGGCTTCCGCGCCGCTCCGGACCCGGCCGGCCGAGCCGCCGCCACCACCCGCATCCCCGGGGGCCGGGGACCGCGCGTCGCGCAGGCTGAGACGGACGCCCGCCCGCCCACCGCTCCGGCT